AGACGGAGTCGACGAGTTCGGCGCCCTCGGTGTAGTGGCCCTTTGCCCAGTTATTACCGGCGCCAGATTGGCCGTTGACCATGTTGTCTGGGCGAAAGAGGTTGCCCAGCGGGCCGGAGCGGATCGCCTCCATCGTGGCGGGCTCGAGATCGACCAGAACCGCGCGGGGGACATACTTTTGTCTACCGGCCTACGTTGCATGAGTTTGCGGTTAGAATTTTGAGAGATATCATGAGACGGTGTGAGGCGCATATGAGGCGCGTGAGAGATGAGAGTAGTACCTCGGTGAAGTAGACGTTCAACCGCTCGGATTGTTGCTCATCAGTTCCAGTGAACCTATGAAGAAAGTCAGCATACAGTGCTCATAGATTTGCGCCATGGTGACTGAGCAGCCGGAAAACTCACTGTCCATCCTGATCCAAGCCATGCTCAGGGTGAATGGTTTGCCTGTTGTCGCAACATTAATCACACGTTCAACAAGGTCCTTTTCTTTTTCACATTGATCTCAATGTCGAGATTGTCATCTTCATACCAGAAAGCAGTTCCGACTTGGTTGCCCTACAAAGACTCATCATCAGTAAAGGCGCGTTGTGACGCGTTGAGCGCCGAACAGGGGCATGAGTAGACGTACACATTGGCCGGTTTGGAGGTGAATCTAGAGTGGATCACAGAAGGGTTAGTTTGTCAAGAGGGACTTTACAAAGTAAGGTACTCGAACATGTGCACGCAACTCACAATTTCACGCATGATGCTGGTTCGAAGATAAGACGGGGTTGTGGTATATTACGATGGTTGAAGGACGCAAGACGCAGGACGCAGATTTTTACCCCGCTATCGAATTGTTGAAATCACGACAGGTGGTCATCTTATAGCGGGATTCCTTATTTCACAACAAACCCCTATCCTGTCCGTATCGCACGCTCGTCTCGCTTGCGCTGTGCGCTTGTTCGCCCCGGATAGGCCCGGCCGTGGACTCTCGGTCTGGACTCGGAAAACATCCCCCACATGTTGGTACATGCATCTTGTTAAACTGCTGCCTTTTTTGGAGTTTGATAGCTGCCTGGTTTATGATGTGTTTTTCTGGCACAGCAGAGACATGGACTTCCCGGGCTGTCATATTTTGATGTGGGAAGACAGAATAGACGGTGAGCGGTCAGAGCTTTTTGGGGCACTTTTTGGGGGGAGATCTGTGTGGGAAAAAGAGAGAAAAATTCAGAAATAAAACCAAAATAAAGACAAAAAAGAACTTTGGCTGCCCAACCAACGATCCGAGCGGAGGTGTCACCCCGGAAGAGATGCAAGCTAGACCATGTTGGGCCCATGACCCGTAGAAATGATTGGAAAATATTGCTCTGTGCCACTCGAAAGTCTCTTGTGGATGTGTTCGAAATCCCCAAAGAGTCTCCATGTCTCCATGTTCGGCGATAGGCGCATCATCAAGAGTCAAAAGGTGTGGTGTTACCAAACTCGTACTTCTTGTTGCAGAGCGTTGCCTAACGCCGTGACGCCGTTCCAACCGCCCGACCAATGACTCTTTGGGATATTCAGCTGCCTGTACTCCCTCGAAACAAGCCGGTTGTTGTCCGTCGCCGTGTTGATTCACGGTTGCCAGGTGTCTGCCTGTGTGTGTCACACCACCACGACCCTATCGACCGACCGGTGCCGCCGCCGCCGCTTGGCCGGACGAGCCGGATCAGAGAGTCCGAATTCCCCCTCCCCTTCCCCCGTCCAGTCCGTGCTCATTGCTCCTCGCTCCTTGCTCTCGGCGGACAAAGAGAGTTCGGCGCGCGCTGGAAATTCTTCCATGGCTCGGCCAGCATTCCAGCGCGCACCCACGTGGGATGATCCAAACATGCAAGAAGTTAGGAACAGTGCAGCTGAAGAAAATCCGGGAAAATGGGAAACTCAGCTCCCCCGCTCCCTCGAGTCCCTGGTGGCCTAGATTTTACATTTGCAGCGTTGGGTTTCGCGTCGTGACGACGGCTTGGCTGTCTGCAGCATCTACGGCCTGCAAAGACGGACTATGCCGACGTCGTTGCTGACGGATGTGGCCTCTCCCACATTACGGAGCCACAGAGTCTGTCAAAGACGAAATGCTGCATAGGACCTAAGCTTGCTGCAGACAGCCAAGTCGTCGTCACGGCGCGGAACCGCGAACCCAACGCAGGAGGCAGACTTACTCGGCCATGGTGGAACGCGTATGTATGTGGCTTGAAGAGGCTGCTGATTCTGGACGAGAACTGCCATCCAAGCCCAGCGCAGCGAAAGCCGAGAAGAGTTGTTAATGAAAGATAAGGTTATTCATTCTTAAAAGTTTATCGCCAAGCGAGCATTGCTGCCATTGCACGACAGGCCAAGCAAAGTTTACATGTCCGCGCCCCTGACATGCCAATGATATCAGAGACATGCTGTACGAGTGCTGATCATTCACATTCGACGAGGGCCTGCTTTGCCAGCTTCAGCACATCAACCAAGCAACCTTTGACACGGAGGATGGTGATCCAGCCACTGACGAGGGGCTCAAGATGATCTGGAATGCAGATGTTTTGGGCGATCAGGGGCAGACGGGCAAAATGAAGGGTGTTGGCAGCTGGGCAGCGGGTGTGGCAGCGTGTTTTCCTTCTTCTTCTTCTTTCTCTCAGCCTTCTCTCAACTCGACCGTCACCCCGTGGAGCCTCATGAAAAAGTTTGCATGAAAGCGTCGTCGTCGTCGTCTCCTTCAGCCTCTTGCAGTAAACCCCTCATACGTCTTGGGTGGATCTAGACACCGATATGGTCTGGACCCTTTACTCGAATCCGATCAGAGTACCCGACCGTTTACCAAAAGCGATCGGTGACAGCGGCATCTAGTCTGGCTAGCCAGCGGGAGACGATAGAATCTGGTTTAGGGGGACTCGTAAGTTCTCTTTCAGACTGAGACATGGTGTCTTGAAGTTAAATGAACCGGAGGATGTGGCTTGCGCTTCAAAGAAACTGAGGAGTTCTCCTCCCAAAGCCCCGTCTTGCTGAATGCGGTAAACCTACCGGGACTCGACTGTAACAGTGCAATCCCCATGGTACCGACTCCCGAGGGAGACTCCTGAAGAATGAGAATGGAATGAGATATATCTACATCCTCGAAACCCTGGTCTATCCGGGTTTCCTTCTTGCTCTCGCATCTTCAAGTTATCACTTGGAACACTCTCCTTGACTGCATCCTTTTCTGCTCTTCTTCAGCTTCTCAACACTCCTATTTTCCCGGGTATCATCAACTTCAGTCTTCAGCTCAGTGGCAGGAACCATCCTTCCATTCAGTCAGTCACTCCTTACGACGACTTTACTTCAGCCAGAAAGATCCCGGTGATTTCGACATATCCGAAGCCCCCAATTCCCACATCTCAAGCCACCACCATGCACTTCTCAGCCAGCGCAACCTTCGCCATGGGCTTGATGGCCTCGCATGCCGCGGCGTTGGGCATCTTCAAGGTGCCAAAGTTCAACGTAGCAGCCGGAACCCCGACCTACACGACCACTCTCGCCGCCCCCACGACGACCTTTGCCACGATCATCGCGCAGCCCTCGTTGACCTCGTCATCGACCTCGTCCGCGGCGACTGCTACCCCAACTGCCTCCTCCAACTCGACTCTGAGTGCCGACCTGCAGCGCGCCCTCGAACTCCACAACATCTACCGCGCCGCCGTTGGCAATGCCAACTTGACCTGGGATGACGACCTGGCCAAGAGCGCTCAGGTCTGGGCCGATCACTTGACGACCGTCGGCAGCCTCGTTCACGACTCGAACCCCGGCGGCCAGGGAGAGAACTTGGCTTCGCAGTCGGGCGGCACCACCACCTACTTCACCAACGGTGTTCAGCTGTGGTTGGACGAGAAGCCGCTGTACGATGGACAGCCCATCCGCACCACTGGATCGCCCAACTACTTGAACTATGGTCACTACAGTGAGTACTTTGCAGCTTGATTGCGAGGAACGTTGCAACTAACAGGTTGATAGCTCAAGCCATTTGGAAGAACACCCAGAAGGTCGGCTTGGCCATGGCCACCGACTCCAAGGGTACCACCTTCGTGGTTGGACGTTACTTGCCTCCTGGAAACTAGTAAGTATATCATCTGGTCCTCGTCATTTTCCCAAGTCTAACTGTCCTCTCCCAGCATCGGCCAGCTGCCCTACTAAGCGTGGAAGGATGGACTCCCAGTGTTGTTTGAGATGTTGTATTCAACACTGTTGGCTGGGCTTGGCTTGTCTTTCGATTCTAGACCGCTTCTCCTTCACTCAGTTGCTTATGCTCATGGCAAGATTTTCATGCCTTGGGCCGCTTCACTGCACATAGATTGTACAGTTCCGTTCAGAATCTTCAACAATTCGAGAGAAATGAGAAAAGCTTAGACACAATACTAAGCATTCAATGAATCAAGACCTCCTATACTTGCAAAGAAAACAACATGCCGAATCCGGAAAAGGGTTCAAGGTAAGGTTCTGACTTGGCAACGCCGTCTCATCTTCGCCGAGTGTCTCCGCCCCACCAAACAAAGACCGCCGTCCGAAACTCGGCGGACGAACCGGACGTGCACTCAACTCATACTCCCAACTCCCAACTCCAACACCACTCACTCCCAATCTCGTCCGTCCGAAATGTACACAACCCATACGCAGCATCAATGTCTCCGCGCCTCGTACTCACATAATGGCAGGCACTGAGCGAGGTACCATCACAGTACGCACCGCTGCCTCGGAACGGCGAGCTGCAGCTGCTAAGCGTCGCTTCGTCCGCAGAGGCACCAAGAGCTGCTGGGAGTGTCGCAGACGCAAGATTCGCTGCATCTTTGACGATAAGGGACCTCGCGATACGTGTAAAACGTGCTGGCAGAAGGGGACACCGTGTGTTAGTCAAGAGTTCCCCGAAGAGGATGCCCAGACGGCTCCGGCTCCGGTGGGCAGTCTCGGGGACCGGCTGAACCGGGTTGAGCGACTGGTCGAGCAGCTGTACCACCGGGTGGACGATCTTGATGTCCCTTTGCCCACTTCGCCGCAGGAGAAAGTAGGAGAGAGCTGTAGCCCCAGAGCAGAAGAATCAGCCGCCATAGGCCCAACCACAGAAGCGTGTTCTGAAGCTGTCCGCAGCCCTTCATCAACTCAGAACGCAGACTCATCAACGGTAGGATCGGGCCGAACATTCCAAAGGATTGTCTACTGACGAACATCTTTTCACTGATCAAGGTTCAATCACAATGTGGAAGCAATGATCCACAACCAAACGAAGATTCATCAAGGCCGAATGCCCCCTCTCACTATGAGACCACGGCAACTATCCGCCCAGCAGTAAACGCGAAACTAGCCGCCTACACCAGACAGCTTGCCGCCGCCATACCCGCCATAGAAGATTGCAGGGTTATCTACAAGCTCTACTCTGAAGCTGACATTGTCTTTCAACTCATGTTCACGCCCCACTGCCTATTGGAGCAGCTGAAGCCAGAGTCTGTCGAGCACTACTTGGAATCTCTCAGAACACCAATGCATCCCACTCTACTGGCCAAAAAGATGCTCATGTTGGGTACGATGCTTCAGCGCGTTCCGACTCATGCCGGAGAAAATGCGTCTGAAGAAACTTATCGTCTCGTGGACAGGCTTGCAGAGACGGCCATCTCTGTGGTGTGCGAGAATAACGTGCTCCTAGGCACGCTCGACGGCCTCGAATGTCTCATTCTGCAAACTGTCTACCATGCCAACGGGGGCAATCCGAGGCTATCGCTGCTGACTTGTCGCCGCGCGATTACCGTGGCCCAGTTGATGGGCCTGCATCGTCCACACGACCCGGCTACCATTGAGACCGTGGACCCGAATTCGACAGCCGTGCCTGGCTTCGTGTGGTTCCGTCTGGTATACCTAGAGCGCTTTATCTGCCTACTTCTAGGGCTTCCCAGCAGCACCCACGATGCAAAGGTCATCAACGATGAGAAGACGCAGACATACGTCAACAGCCACCATATTGACCGCCTTGAACAGGTTCACTCCTCCATCGCCGCCAAGATCATACAACGGAATGAGTCGGGGTCATATCTATTCGACATGGAAACCACTCATGCACTAGACCAGGAGCTTCAAGTGATAGCAACAACCATGCCCCCGCGATGGTGGACCATCCCCAACTTCACCGAGCCACACAAAGATTCAATGACAATCGTCCGCAACAGTCTCAACCTAGCCAACCAGCTTTTCCACTTCTTCCTCATCATCGAACTCCACCTACCCTTCATGCTCCGCCACTCCAAGAACGGCGCGGCCAGCAGCAGCAGAATGGCTTGCGTCGACGCGAGCAGGGAAGTCCTCTCCAGGTTCATCGCGATACGCAATCCGGAAGGGGTATGCAGCATCCCCGACGCCGCCGACTTCTTTGCGCTCATCGCAGCCATGACGCTTATGCTTGCGCATATCGACGCCCGCAGACGAGATAGGGGGAGGGACATCCTCGCGCACCAGCGGCATACGGACCGCGACAAGGTTGAGCAGACGTTGGAGCATATGCGTGACGGGAGCTCCAAGAACACGGATATGCTTTCCATGAAGAGCGCCGATGTCTTGAAAAGCTTGCTTGCGATCGAGGCCGATGCTGCTGGGGGTTCGACGTTCACTGCGAGCCTGAGTTCTGCATCGACGCCGGCTTCAGCTTCATGTGGTGGTGTTGGTGAAGGTCGGAGCACAGACGATGCCAGGAATGTGTTGCAACTCAAGATTCCTTGTTACGGTACGGTCATCATCTCGCCTGATGCTCCTCCTTCTCGCGAACCTTGGATGCCTGTCACCCGTAACCCACATGGAATGGTTCCCGACAGTCGTGCGCCTGGGAATCTCAGTGTTGCGAGCCCCTTTGTTGCAGGTCCCATGGCAGGAGTATGTCCAGACGGAGGGGCTAGTGCAATGCCAGGCTCGAGTGGTCAGGGCGAGAACCTGCAGCTCGATCCCAATGTCGATCCAAGATGGCTTTTTGAACTCGGCAACCCCAACCTTCTGGGCAATGGAATCGCCGCTGGACTAGAGGACTGGCCGTTTCAGGGCGTTGATGCTGCCTTTTTTGACAGTATGATCAGAGGGTTCGAAGGTGGTGGTGATGACTATGGCGGGGCAAACGTGCCATGAGTGCATTCTAACCCTCCTTCACGAGAATCAGGGTCCTAGGGAAATGAATTCACCAGAGAAATGCAAGAGTCGAACTCGTTGGTCAGGGACCGTATTCATAATAATTTGTCTACCGACAGGATTCCAACATTATCATACATTAAGTAACTAGGGCATAAGGGGTATCGAAACACTCATCCCAGTCTTTCTTCCCAGACGACCAAAACTTCTCTAGAATCTCCTTCGTCGCCAGAGGCAAATACGCACCAAGGTGTACACTCTCATCAGCTAAACGCTTAGCAATAAACGACCTTGCCGCCGCGCTCCCCGTCTTCGCCTCGAACCCAGCAACAATCATCGGCCACATGACGCAGCTCCTCAGGACCTGGGACCCGGCAGCCTGCTCGAGGAGGGTCGTGAGCTTGCTGCCATGTATCGTCTTCACGGCCCGCCAACCCGCGGATGCGGGTATCACGCAAACGCTCTGCAGGGAAGTGATGGTAAAGACGACGGCGGCGGACTGATACACCTGTGCCATTGTCAAGAATTGCTCTTGCGATTCCATCTTGGTAGCGGACCAAGTTTCGGGAGAGAAGTCTATGATACGCTCGAGGAGGTCCTCGGCTTCTGTCTGGAGAGAGTCTAGCGTGTCTGACGACTCTGGTTGCGTTGCAAGGTACCGGAGACGGTTGACGCATATGATGTCGATGAAGAGTTGTACGGGGCAGGGGAGGAAGGGGTAATATCCTGTTTCGTAGATTTCTTGGGTGAGATCTCTCATTTCGAAATTGAGCAGCGGTGATACTTGGTCGTATGCCGGGCTTGTTGAGTTTGCCAAGTTTTCGATGCTGTGGATGTGAGTTTCATCAGTGCTCTGCACCTACAGTAGCAGCGGTTCGTGTAGAGTGAGGTCCTTACATCTTGCAGAATAGGATTACAGTTTTGTAGCCTGGCGCAGCGTCGCAAACACTTCTTAGGCCACCTCGCATCTCGATGATGGCCATGAATCCGTTGAGATGGTGCCGCCAGTTGGAAGCCGTCAATGATCCCATAAGCTGCACACAAACAGATTAGGTTCAAAGTTTCTGGGCTAGCGGGGGAGTATAGGAAAGGAAGGGGGTGAGGTGGAAGGGGGCCAAAGACACGCACATCTGCGTATAAGAACACAATCACCGCCGCCATCGTGTAGTCAGAGATTCTTCTCTGTTCATTTTGGTGGCTGATCTCTCTGTTCAAAGCTTGAATTGCGGTACATCGATGCTGATGGAATCGGGCCGTGACTTCTGCTTGATGCAAGTCGTTTTTCCTCTTAGACAAGCTCAGCAAGCGGTGGTTGATGGCCATGGCAACGAGAGTGTGTTGGATAGTATCTCCCATATACTGGATGTACGACACGGGTACAAGCCAGGGGCTGTTGGTCAACTGATTCGCTGCAAAGAACGGGTAGATCTGCTCGTTCCCTGTTGCAGATCGAGCATACATCAGTTTCTTGGTTTCTCAAACAAGACAAAGCCCCAATCTAGTAATGTAATATGGTGACTTACAGTAAAGTGTAGCCTCAATAATGTCACAAGTCTCATCTCTCAATTCGTGACCGGGAAATAGGTGCACGAGGTGGTCGGTACAAGTACCCGATACCTTGGACCTCACTGCCATTGCAAGTTCTGACCCGCTCTGCCCTTTTGTACCCTCCTTCGATGGATCGTCGTCTTTCTTCTTGTTGGCAGGCGGGCTTTTCCGTTTCCACGTCCGGGTCTTGACCTTGCCAGGGGCAAGCCATACCAACGGCTTCTTGTCCTCGTAACCGGGACACACGACGCCGCTAGTTTTGCACTTTGAGCAGACGGGACGTGCCGAGTCGCACACTAGTCGGCGCCGTTGACATTCCCAGCATTGTCTTCTTCCCCCACGAGGGCCAGTCTGTGAATGTTCTTGTGCCTCTGTCTGTGGCGGTCCACCCACTGCGAGCGCTAATTGTCTAGAGGTGGAAGCCATCGTCTGATTAAGGCAAACTTCCCGTCTCAACGGCTCATCAAGCGGCTTTACGTTTTGGGCTATTGAAAGTAGACGGAGTGACGGGACGGCACATCTATCCTGCAACCCGCTGGCTCGGGTCGGGTTTAATACATGTGGTGCGGAGGTGAGCTGGAGCTACGTGGGAGGTCAACCACGGCTAACCGGCGACGGCGAGCAGTGCCTCACCAGGGGCGCAGTGCATGTCTTGGCCACTTCAATAGCCTAATGAGGTAAAGCGCGGGGTATTCCTTCAAGATCATCGCTTCTCTAGCGCGTCAGCAAGACAGCCCTACGAGAGACGAGAGGAGGTTGATAAGCGAGCGGTGCGCAAATGGATGAGTCTATTGATGTCATTGGATGATCTACATGGTTTCTGACTCCAAAGCTATGCGCTACGAGGTGGGCTGAACGACAGTAAGGTTGGAAATCTGGAGAACTTCTTCTAAGCCAATCAGACCATAAGAGACATAGGTACTCAACGTAAGTAGCCGAATGAATCTCCGGAACACGTAGCAGGTGAATTGAAGCTGTGAAATATTTTCAACACATTGAAAACACAGCGGCGGTAATAACGCAATGTCGTCAGCGTCCAGGCTGCATTATCACAACTCTTCTGGGTTGTTCTTGTGCACTTTCACAACTTGGCTCTGATATTTGGGTTTGACTATCACGCTCTCCTGGGATATTCAGGTTCATAGCCAAGAAATTCGCGAGAGAAAGTATCGGAAGTCGGATATACCTACTTCCGAGCCACAAGCGTCGATGGTTTAGTGGTAAAATTCTCCGTTGCCATAAAGCAGCGTCGGGGAGCCGGGGGTTCGATTCCCCCTCGACGCATTCTTTTGATAATCGTGTTGATTGTCTGTCTACTTTTTGTACCTGACAATCGCTCCTCAATGGGACTTGGGCAGAGCTGCGAACATAGAGGACAATCATCAGAGAGTTGATTATAAATAAGGTGGATGCTTGAAACATCTAATTGGCCGTGACTGCATACCTGACTGAGGTGGGTATCCCACACATGGTCAGACAAGCCTAGGCGAATGAACATCACGCCCAGTGTAGATAGAGTACAGCTTTCATTGACCTCCTTGTGAAATTCCAAACTCCAGACGTTAAGAGGATATTGGTGGTGAGGCAGTTCCCTCGGTATCGGTTCTGTCAAGTGCCCGGCCGGCCAAAGAAACTCGACAGTTTCTATCATGCAATCATCCGGAGGCTAGACTAAAACGTTGTGAACCATAACAGACTCAAACATAACCTTGGAGCCAGCTTGCTGTACATCTAAAAGCTAACCTCACGCGTCACGAATAGCTACCAGCGTCAGGGTCCAACTCCTGACCGGGCAGAAATTACGACTGCGACCCCGTCAATTTGGTGGGGTGCATCGGTTGCTGGGCACGTCGGAGACTAGCGACCGACTGATGGATGAATTGAGAACCCGTGCTACCTTTCCGTCGGTAGACGCGCTCACTTCTCATATTCGTGACTGGAGTAAGAAAACCATCCAAAAATATCAAACTACTCCGTATGGCGTCAGGCACAAACGACGTTGAAGGTTCTGTGTGCCTTGACCGTCCGTCGATTAGACTTTGGATTCATGTTCAAGGCCACATCAGTGCAACCACAGTGAAAGGATGCGGGACGAAAGGTAATCTTTACTCATCGTTGGCAAATGGCCACTTCCGCCGAGGGTGTGCAAAGGCCTTGAGGCTGGAGCATAGTCGAAGTTAAGATGAACTCTGAATCTCAAGACTCCTGAACCTCCCTCATCCATTCATCTCCCCACGCACTTGAGTGCCTATCACTTCTCTAGCTCCCACAGTCCAGTCATCACCACTCGATCACTGCCTTCAGTGATTCCCAGGGACTGATTTTGGTCAAGCCGAGGACCGTGCTCTGTCGCAAAGTCCGACATGAACCTTGTCCCCTGCAGCCCTGCCCTGGTCCCATGGATCCTTGCAAGTTGTCGACCGGAGAGGCGGGGGGCATTCCCTTTCTTCGCTCCCGAGTTTCCCCAGGGCAAAGACTGCCTAAGAATCCGAAAACAATGTCTGCCCGGGGGATTCGCGCAGTCTTCAAGCGGGATGGCTTTTCGCCGCCCAGGCATGTCGCGTATGGTTAGCGATCCTACCGGAAGAGTCGTAGCACCAGCCGCTGCAGGCCTTGGGCGCTTCGCCAGCATCCAGAAGGTAGAAATCACCGAGGTGCTGAAGGAAAAGCCGTTGACGAACCCACTCGCCCCGATAAAAAGAGACTGGAATGGGGGAACTTGGTAATTACGCAAGTTGTCCTGCGCCGCATTGCGGATATTCCGTATGCATGTACGCTTTGACTGTAGGCAACGATAATCCAGCCAAAGTTCCGTGGCCAAGACCTCGGGTCCGAGTCTTCTCGTCATCTGGTCTAAAATCACATTCAGAGCTGAAGAAAAGGAGACAAAGGAATTTGTACATCACTGCTGTCTGGCGTGTGAAATTTTCATCATTTCACATCGCATCGTACTATGTGTAAGCCACTGTGCAACGATACGCGTACAAAGGAACAATCGCAGGGCAGGGAAGCCGGGAGGTAGCTTCATGAATCGTGTGTATGATACGACTTCACGCGCCCACTTTGGTCTTCCCTGCCGGGTATCTGACGACGCTTTCAAGAGGGTCCCCGTTCCCCATCAACGCCGTAAATGCGTAAGGAAGCCCATTTCGGGCTGCGTTTGCTTGCTGTCCACTGTCACTCACAACGACGCTTGCCTTGTCGTCCTTCTTGTCGCCGGCGCATCGTGATTATCGCTGCTGTCGACATCTTCTTCCAAGATCCAGAATTCTGTTCGCTTCTGGATGCCTGGTTCAAGTGGGATATCGCTGTGGTCGCTCTTTGATAAGGAGGGCCTGCGCTCCGAGCGTATAAATGTGTCGGTGTTACCGCCGTTGTCGCCGTGTAATCTGCTGCCGTTATTGTACGCAGTTCGAGAGCGATGTGACGAATTTCCGTATGCTGAGGGATGGGAACTGGGGAGCTGTTTTTCGCCAAAGAAGTAGAACCAGAGGGATCTGGAGAGAGCCAGGTTTCCAGCAATGATTCCAAGGTAAAGCTCCAAGTTGGACCAAATTGCAGTTACTGCGTATACGTCTAATGCTGTTAGCTGGGCCCTCTTGGACGCCCGACCAAGGATTGTCCTTACAACTCAAGTCGTTGGTCACTAGGCCGAGAGAAGCTGCGCGTGCAATACCGAAGCCAGTTGCGCTGTGGGCTTATGTCAGTTTACTAATTCCATGTCGGTTTCGGGGCTTAGAGGTTGCTAACATCAAACCGAGACTCATCAATGCGCCGACCGAGAGTTTGGTCGACAGTGGTATACGCACTTGCCAGACTACAACGAGAGGCAACAAGGAGCACAACAAGTCTGTCGCTACGGAGTATGCTAATGGAAGAATGTGTTAGTCGCAATTCAAAAAGACTGCTCGTCCCCCTGCCTGACTTACAGATAGTCAAATAGATCGAGTATATCCGAATCTTGGCGTCCCAGCACACTCCATTTCCAGTCCAATATGCCTCGACGGGATCACACTCGGCGAGCAAGATGATGATGACGCCAAAGTTGGTGATAACCAGACCAGCCATGACGGACCACAAAAAGTATTTAAGCCGGCTAGAGTCTTTGATGCGAAGCAGCAAGAGCATGATGGAGCACTTGAGCAAGCAGATACTAGCGAATAGAAGGATTTGTGCGAACCATCCAAGCATGCTGTTGTTGACGTATTCCTCTGTCGAAATGTACCATCGATGCCTCCCATTTCCCGAGTTTCCTTGCGCGCACTGGACGCCATACCTGACGATGCCGAGACTAGCGACAATCCCCATAAGATAGTCATCCCATCCCAGATGCCGTAATGCGAAGCGAACGTAGAGGCGGATCGAAGTTGTGAAGACGACAAAGAAGATTAGCACGCCGGAGACACCAAGGAGGATCGGGTTGACGTTCTCGTCCGGCGGTAGCGGATTCGGAGGGGTTACTGGCGCCATCTTGAGTGCCGACGTATGAGTCTGGTGGACTCAAGCCTGGGTAGCGTGGAAGAAGACGCCAGGACAAGGAACGAGGGTGCAGCACGCCAGAAAATACCAGTCCATGCGCTGGATAAATGTATGAGAGAGAAGAAGAGGGCCAGCGGGTAATCAACCCACGGGATAGTCTCTGCACAAGGCAAAGACGGAGACGATCGCCAAGATCTGCTTTTGGATGGCAGCTCGTTTACCCCCGGACTTTTTAAACGTCCCACTCGACGTGCGCCCTTGAGGGGGGAAAAAGGAGCGTTGGTCGTCTTATGAGCTGCGACGAAGCTGAGTAGGAGGAGAATAAGCTACATGCAATTCCGCGGTAGCCAGCCCTGCATGCGCGGACGGAGGAAATATGAGATGCAAGGAGGTCAAGGCACCACGGCGCATATGTCTCAGATGGGCGAGACCCAATCTACCCATCCCGCGGTTGTGTCGGGCGGAGGGTGGTAAATGGTAATGATTTGATGCCTTGGACGCCGACAAGGCCGAGGTGGTGTTGTGTTGGTTTGGTAGGATGCAAGATTGCCCAGCCTTTGCTTCGATTCTTCCAAGATATGGATAATAGGCATTTGATATTTTGTTTCGTTGCCCCGAGCAGAGAGGATGCATGCCAAAGGACGGGAGCTAAACGCAAATGTCTAAGACATGATACTCTCAACTACGTCCATTTGAGGGATCGTTGTGTCTCGCATGGCAAAGACGGGGGACCCCCTCCCCCAAAGAAGAAGGGTCTTGGCTCGAAATGACTGGGAGTCTCGTATTGTGGAAGGCCGGGTTGGACGAGTATCTTTTCCTCTTCTCTCCTTCTTCAATACCCGCCCAGCCTCTGCGAGCTCCTCTTTGGTTGCTTGGATACAAATTGAGTTTGAGCGGCCTCCATTCCCCTGCGTATCTCTGTTGGTCGTTGACGAGGGCACGCCGCACCCGAGGGAGGGATCAAAGTAGACCTTGGGCATGTGTGGATTCTTTCATGCTGCGACCTGCAGTGCCTGCGCATCTGGCAGGCTGTGGGATGTTGCGCAATGTGCCGCACGGCTCCCAAGGGGTAAAGATGATTTACGTACACAGACTTGTGGGCTCTTTTGCCAACAATTACCAAGCAAACACCTGCAGCAGAACTGAGCAAATGGAGTAACTTGATGACGATCGTCTTCTCACTTTGACTTTTTCACTTTCCCATCCCATCTTTCCACCCCTTATCTCTTGACGTCTCGACGCAGACAAGACATGTAGTTGGTGGCCATGAGACAGATACAGACACAGACCAAAAAGCATAACGGGTAGCCGAGCGGCGCGCGGCAGCTTTTCTGCTCTTCCCGCTCGAAAGACGAGGGGCCGACGCTGGCGAAAGTTTCGGTCGTGCGAAAGGGTGGTGCCCGAGTTTAATTAACAGGGGGTATGGCATGACTATCAGGGGTATCCTAGCAACTCCGTCAGCAGGCTGCGCAGCGAGGGACGAGCTTTCTTAACAAAGACACCAAAGAGGATGCAAACCGTTGAGCCCCCCGAGGGGAAACTCGGGAGAGAGAAACGGGGAGACGGGGAAGGGCCGGGAAACGCCGTTGTTAACTTGTCAATGCTTCGAGAGACGTGGAGTTATTATGGAATTGTTCATAACTGACCAAGACGGATGATTTGTCCAGACAGGGTCACGTCAACTTGTCCAAACGGGTCTGACAGGCCTATCCTTGAGTCAGGAACCTAACCCCGGAGAGCGACCGGCCGGCGCAGCTCCGCAATCGTCAACGGTTCTTCTCCGGATAGGCACGTTGATGGCACAGTAACATTCGCCCGGGTACACAGCCATCCCCGTCGGCGAACATGTTGAACCGTGGGACGGTTGATGTTGCTTCGCGGCGTAGTAGGGGGATCCTGCTGTGCCGTTCGTCTCTGGTAGAGCAGAACGCAACCGAACCTGCATAAGTGTCTGACATTCCCTCGTCATCCATTCTCTTCTCCCCTCTCTTCGAGGTTGAGGTAGACAGTTTGGCGGCTGTCCAGCAAGTTGTGTTGTTGGACCGGCGCGCCGGTAGCTTACACGCGCATTTATAAGTGCTTACGCTGCCGTGTGACACCACCACAGCATACCGCCACCATATCCTCCTTTCCCGGGACTTCTTCAGCGGTACTTACGGATAGTCTATAGCATATGAGGATTCTCGGCACCCCACTAATGTTCCCGTTCCTCCGGAGCTTGGAGGACGGGCGACCTGGGGTGGAGAACAAGGCTATTTCTTTGGGCCGCGTGTATGATCACTGGCGCCGTTTTCTTGGACTATGGATAAGAGGCCCTGCTAACTTGCTAAAGAAGCTTGTAAGGGAATTAATCTCCGCATTATTGACATTCGATTATCACTTGAGGGAATTTGGGGGCTGCATACAAAAAGGGAGACGATCCTGCTGCCGCATGGAACAAGGCACGCCACAGCACGCCCTCCACTTTGTGTCGTTTGGTGCCATTGACGAGGTTTCCCAAACCTGGACTTGACGTGCAGACATCACGCTTATTGGTTTTGAAAGCTCGAGCGTTTGCTTCTCTTTTGATCTAGGCTCTAGCAGAACTTGCAGAAGTGCGTTTCCCAGATCGCCGAGCCGAGGGTTCCTAAACTTTATTTTCTCGAACGTGTGGGAAAGGATCGCTGTATCGTCTTAGCCATGCTTGTCAAGTCGAGCCTCGCCCTCGCCTCCGCGGCCCTTGTTTTGGGTGCCGCTTCCTCCTCCTCCTCGTCACAGCCCTACGGAGATACCTACGATTATGTAAGTTGTTCTCAGCTCTGCTCTCGGACGTTGGCGTTGCTTCGTTTACGGGGTCGCTCTGTTCGACGTGTTCGTTTGTGCCCTTCTTTGGGATTTTACGTTTGCCGCGGCCCGGGGGAGGACAATTACCTGACACACTAACACTTTGTCTTTCCCACGCCCAGATCGTCGTTGGCGGTGGCACTGCTGGAGTAGCCGTGGCGGCTCGTCTCAGCGAGGGACTCCCTGCTTCCAAGATTCTCCTCATCGAGGCGGGGCCCGCAGTGTGGGATGAGCCTAAAATCAACGTCCCCGGCATGAAGGGCTCGACGCTGGCCACAAAGTACGACTGGAACTTCACCACGGTACCGCAGCCCAATGTCAATAGCCGAACTTTCACGGTCAACCGAGGCAAGGTCCTCGGCGGCAGCTCCGCCCTCAACCTCATGTCGTACGACAGGGCTGCCGTGGCCGAGTATGACAGCTGGGAGGCTCTCGGCAACCCGGGATGGAACTGGGAGGCGATGATTGCCGCTATGAAGAAGTCGGAGAACTTTACTGGCATCAATACCGATACCTACGGCTCCGAGGGTGTGGGTGATAGCGGTCCGGTCAAGGCTGTCATCAACCGCATCATCCCCGAGCATCAGAAGACGTGGATCCCGACGATGAATGCCCTCGGTATTGAGAGCAACTTGGAGTCGCTCGGCGGAGATCCTCTCGGAGTGATGTATCAGCCCAGTAGCATTGATCCGACTCACTATAATAGGTCTTACAGCGCCAACGCCTATGTTCCTGTTGCCGGTTCAAACTTGGAAATCCTTTCCGATACTACGGTTATCAAGGTCAACGTCGGAAAGGCTACAGGTAACTTGACTCTTCAGGCAGCCACGGGAGTCACCCTTTCAGATGGGACCATCATCTCAGCCCAAAAAGAAGTAATCCTATCTGCTGGCTCCATCCAAAGCCCAGGCTTGCTGGAGCTGTCAGGTATTGGGCAATCCTCGGTCCTCAACGCCTCCGGCATCGAACAAGTCATTGAACTCCCTGGCGTTGGTGAGAACCTCCAGGACCATCTTCGCATTCAAAGTTCCTACCAGCTCAAGGACAACTACACCTCCTTCGACATCCTCCGCAGTAACGCCACCTACGCCGCGGAGCAGCTGGCCCTCTGGAACGCCGGACAAGTCTCGCTTTATGACTACACCGGCAGCGGTTACACCTTCACGACCTGGGCGCAAGCTATCGGTAACGACTCTCGTCTGGTTTCCCTTGCCAAGGAGGCCGCCGGCGAAGACCCCAGCGTCGTCGACCAGAAGAAGCTGGAGTTCTTGACCGACCCTTCCATCCCCCAGCTCGAGGTCATCTTCTCGGATGGCTACACCGGTGTCAAGGGGTACCCCGCGTCGACTTCGCCTCTCTTTGGCGAAGGGTTCTTCACCCTCATCGCAGCGATCATGCACCCCATGAGTCGGGGCAACATCCACATTAGCCCCGCCAACACCACCGGAAAGCCCGTCATCAACCCGAACTACTTTGCGCACGAACATGATCTGGAGGCAGCGATCCAGGCCATCAAGTACTGCCGCAAGATCGCCACTACCGAGCCTATGAGATCTATCTGGGAGAACGAGTACGAACCGGGGTTGGATGTTGTCGAGACCGACGAGCAGTGGAAGCAGTTCGCGCTCAACACGACGCTGAGCATCTTCCACCCCGTTGGAACATGCTCCATGCTCCCGAAGGAGGATGGTGGTGTTGTTGACAGCGACTTGAAAGTCTACGGCACTTCCAACCTGCGGATTGTCGATGCCAGTATCATTCCTCTGCTTATCTCCGCACATGTACAAACTGCTGTCTATGGTATCGCGGAGATCGCGGCTGAGCGCATCATCGCAGATGCTTAGAAGTGATCACGTAGCCAAGCATCCATGAGTTGATTGATGACAACAAAGACCAGCCTTTGAGGGACCTTTTTCAAATTCTAATGATAATTACCCACCTAGACCAGAACCAGACACCGACCGCCGATATAGTGTGTTGAGGCTCCTTGCGATACTATCTGAGAAGATGACAAAACCGGAGGGTTCCATCTGGTGGAACTGTACCACACCTGAATTTAACCATGTTGATGAAAGTCTCAATGGATACGTATACGAACAGTCGTCACAGCCACAACATGCATGAGTCAGAGATCATTTGATAGTCTGAAGTGATTTATTTACGGAAAGAAACTTTATACATAAGATAATCTAGAACGAAACATGTACGTTGAAGTGGCTCAGGGGGGTCATCGTAATTCTCCCGAAGCCGGTACCTGCCATGATCACATCCACTCAGCGCTTGAGGGTTCGATCATTTAGTGCAGGTGAGCATGGCGTCTGAAGCGCATGGCCTGGCGCTGGGCGCGCTTGGTGACACCGTTGCACTTGCTGGCCTCGGGGGCAGTAGAGTTGGAAGAGCCGGTGACGGTGACGGCGGCAATCTTCTCGGCAGCGTGCTCGGCGGTGATCATGATGATGGACTGGGTGTTGCCGGTGGGCAAGTCGGGGTGGATGGAGGCGTCGACGACGAAGAGGTTGTCAGTGCCGTAAACCTTGGTGTCGAGGTCGACGACGGCGGTGCCGTCAGTCTGGCGGCCATCATCGGTGCCCATCTTGGCGCTACCAACCCAGTGGTCACCGGAGATCATCTTAGTGCTGATGATGTCGTCGGGGGTGGCACCGGGGGTGACGTAGCTGAGGGTGGAGTTGCTGCCGCTGGTGAGGTCGAGCCAGTACTGGACAAAGTCGGACATGGCCTTCTTGTCAGCGGCGTCGATCAACCAGGGCTTGGTGTTGAGGACGGTGTTGCCGGAGGCGGTGATGCCGAGCTCGCCGAGGGTGGAGGTGCCGTGGGTCAGGAACGTGCGGACGGTGATGATGCCGTTCTGCATGGCGCTGGCAGTACCCTGGAGGTAACGGGTGCGACCGTCAGAGCCTTCGGCGGAGGTCCAGAGGTGCATACGCTGAGCGGCCTGGGTGATGGGACCAGAACCCTCCTTGTAGAGGTTCAGATCGCTGGTGACGGGGTTGGACGCGATGGCGTTGAAGGCGTAGGCGCTGAAGTTGGTCTTGGAGTTGAACTGGAGCATGACCTGGGCGTGGTCCTGGAGGTGGTGTCCGACGGGGAGGTCGATCCAGTCAGCCTGATCGGGGAGGGTGACGCCAGTGCTGGCGGCTCCAGACTTGACGATCTCCAGGGCATCAGAGCGGCCGATACCAGAGTTCCAGAGGAGACGGGGGGAGGACATGGCCCCGGCGGCGAGGACGACCTTGCCGCCAGCGTTGACCTTGATGATCTGGGTGCTGCCGTCGGCGGCCTGGGTGAGAACACCGGTCATCTTGCTGCCGGTGCGGAGGACCTGGATCACCTTGGTCTCGAGCTTGAGGGTGAAGTTGGGCAGCTGTTGGGCGAAGGGCATGTAGGTACGGGCAGGGCCGGCACGAAGGTTGTCCTTGATGGACCAAGAAGGGCGGGAGAAAACGGAGGACTTCTCATTGGGGGACTCGATAGAGTCAACCTCGTTCCAGCCCTTGGCGCTCAGGAGGCCGGAAAGAACACGGAAGGTCAAATCGTCGTAGTACTTGCCGTCGTCGGAGGGCTCAGTGGTACCGGGGTTGCGCTCGTAGAGGCGGGAAGCGGCATCAGAGACGTCAGCCCAGTTCCAGCCCGCGGGCCAGCGCTGCCAGTCGTGCTCAGGGGGGTGGATGAAGTTGAGGCCGTTGATGGAGCTGGATCCTCCCAACAAGCAGCCAGCGGTGGAGGCAGTGTCACTGCAGAGGGAAGTTCCAGAGAGACTGGTCATGGAGCTGCCGAGGGCGGGAATGTCGTAGGGGGTGAGGGTGTCGTTCCAGGGCAGAGCCATGTCGGAGCCCAAGGCGACGGTGTTGGCGGGGCCACGCTCGATGAGGAGAACGCTGGAGCCCTTCTCGGCAAGACGCTCAGCGGCGATAATACCAGCAGGGCCACCACCAACGACGATGACATCGTACGTGGTGTTGGAGGTGGTGGGGGCGGGGATGGTGCTGTTGCCAGGAACGGGGGTGGTGGTACCGTTGCCGGGGACGGGCGTGGTCTCAACGGCCTTTGCGTACTTGGACCAGGTGTCGAACTTGGCGGACTTGGCGGAAGCAATGTCAAGACCGAACTGACCGAAGCCAGCGGAGTGGTAGTTCAGGGCAGCAGCCGAGTCGGAGACGGGCGACGGGCTGGTGTCGGAGTAAGCCCAGCCGAGAATGGGGGAGTCGCCAGCCAAGCTGGTCTTGTCGTTGATGCAGTTCTGGCACAAGAAGGTGTACGAGAAGTGAGTGCTGTTGACGAAGGTACCGTTGGCGATGGGGACAGCGGAGACCTCGGTGGCAGTGTAGACGTCGGGGTTGGCGTAGGCACTCCCCAAGCGGAAAGATGTCTTGATTTCCTCGCCATCGGCCCAGGCGACGAAGAGGAGGCCGTTCAACATGCCACCCTTCAGCGAGACGGCACCCCAGTTACCCTTCGTTGAGATGGGCACAACCATCTGACCAATGAAGTCCGTTCCGATGGTCTCGGGGACCGCGATACCGAAGCTGTAGGGGTAGGCAGAAGGCAGGTAGCGTTGGAAGTCGATACCGGTCTGGGGGTCAGAGTAGGCCGAGGCTCGCAGTTGCGCGGTGGCAGTTCCAGCGAGCCCGAGAAGGGCCGCTACTCCTGAGAATGTAGAGCGCATGGTGACTATCGTTTGCAAGTTCTTCTAAATATCTCGGGTGTTTGGTTTCGTTGTGGGGACAAGGAGTGGATTTGGAAATTGTTCAAAGAAGGGAACAAGTCTCAAAATGGGAGTGAATGAACGTAACCTCTAGGGTCAACAAGTGAAAAATGAATGAAAACACCGTACTAGCGGTGACTCGAAAAAGAAGGAATGCACGAAAGATGCGGCTCAACAATCAGAAAGAAGAGTCAGGTCGTGTCGATGTTGGAGGCGGTCGTCTGGCGTTGGTATTATATCTCTCCATGCCTTCTAGGCCCCTCTCCTATCCAACGATCCGTTATCCAACAACCAACTGCCCACCGTACCACTTACTATCCGTACCTGGAGGAATCCTAAAAGACGGGAAGGACCCCCACTGAAGCAAGTTTCCTTAATCTCATATTGCCCAAGGATGGCTGCTGCTTGCATACTGCGCAGTCCGGGGTCCGTAGCGCCAGACCGGGGGGTCGCAGAGATTCTCCGTGTTGGTCTCGGTCGTCGGCAGACCCGCTGAAGTTGGTGAACCCCGGGATGTGCATCCTTGGGGCCGCTAGAATGTTTGATATAAACTTGTCTGCTATCTGGTGCCAAGCGCGCCAACAGAGCCAGCTCGCGCTTTGTTTCAAATAAGAACACCGTCATTGGCAGAGCTCCCAAACGAGGCCATCGCCGCACTTGCAGGCAAATGTAGGCAATGCAGGCGACTTGTCCCTATGACGTGCCGTGTAATTTGGGCCGGCTTGTTTTACTTACATGTGAGGTGTCCCACTTACCGTGATCGCGAAGCCTGCAGGTGATCTGGGCGCACAGTGCCGCCCCCTTTCGTCCCCTCTCGTTGGCGTCCAACGGTAAAATGGACCGACCTTCAGCGCCTCTGCGGCCAACCAGCTCCAGCCACTTTGAAATCTTCGGATGAACTGACCGAAGGGGGGCGGCGGCCGCAGTGGGTAGCGGGAATAATGCAACGTTGAGGCAACCGAAGAGGGCCTTTGGGAATTGGACGTGATAAGTGAGCAAACAATGCTTCCAGTACGCGGGATGTCGAAAGAGCCTCCCTGCAGCTACCTTTAATCTTATGCACTCCTGTCTACCTAGCGCCTACACTACCGCCATGATTTGACTTCTGCTCACCAAGACATGCCAAATCAAAGACACTTTGCTGGCTAGGCCAGATCATCGGGATCAAGAGCCGAGACTAACCAGTAACAACTAGCTTTTGCTGCAACGCTGATCTTTGGGACCAGAACTTAACAAGATCGAGTTGCTTTACTCGAGACTCTACAATGTCTCCATCAGCCTCAGGTGGGAGGTACCCCATGTTTGTAGTCCACAATTACCCCTCATAAGCTGGAATGCCACCTTCTCAATTGGCGGAATTTGTTTGCGTTTAATAATTGGGGTCAAGGGAGATGAATAAATTGAACCATACTCGGTGGATTCTCGTCCAATTTGACCGAGCTCCTCGGTAAAACTTACTCAAATTTGCTCCGCTGCGAATAGTGGACGCGAACCTCTGTTCCCTCTTTTCTTTTAGTTCGTAAGATTGGGCATGTTTTGCCATTTGGCATTTCCCCTGTTTGTTTTCGGCCGAAAAAATTTGGACTCGCCGTGAGAGACAAAGCTCTTCTTCACCGCACAACGCGAGGCTACTACGCAGGTAAATGCCGTCTATTTATCCGGACGGGTATTTGTGCCATTTGGTGGTGGACGAGTCAGAGAATCCCCAAGCAATCCGGGGACGCGGGAACATAGCAGGGACCAACCCTGAAGTCACAGAACAGAATTCGCCCGAAAGTTGACGCCCAGATCTGTCTTTCTCAGGGGCTTTTTTAGACGTTACACTAGATATTGCTTGATCAGCACTTGACTCGCAGACGGGAGCGCTGCTGATCTGGTGATCAAGCCAACTCCATGGCACGTTAATCAACTGTCATGCCAAGCTTTCCGACTAGCTTCCACGCGGGAGCCTTGTCCATGGATAAACGGATGGTGGCGGATGAATCTCTCGCGATCCTGGGCGCAAAATTCCACAGGCTGCTTCTTCAGGGGAAACTTTCAAGTCTGGAACCGGTCCTTGCCAGCACAGATTGACAGGCAGAGCCACTAGCGAAACACGCCTGGTTATTGGACACTCCCGCACTCCTGACCAAAATTTGATTAGTGATGTGTGACGACGACCTCGAGCGGATTCACCCAGGATTGTTTCGTTTTTCATGGACTGTTCCTTTGCCTTCGGCAATTTTTGACCGGATGAAACTCTGCTTTATTGCGATCATCGATATCGCCGTGTTTGGCCTAAAGAAACCTTTCATGTTGCCCAATGAAGAATCCGTATAGAGGACTTGGCTCACTCGGCCGAGTTCATCCTACTTTGAATCGTCCAAGAATCTCCGGCCCCTCTTGACCGTACTGACTTACTTAAGTGTTACATAACAATCCCATCATAGCCTAATGATTTGACTCAAATAGTACATTCTGTTGATTGTCCTGCTGAAGCGAGGGTGCCAAGCAGAAGTATTGCTTTCTTTAGGGCCAAATGTGAGGCGAAAAGCGCGAAGGGTTTCTATCCTCTTTTCCGTCTCCATCTTATTTCGTTTGGCCTATCTTTTTTGTAGTGTTCAAACCGCAGTCCTCAAAATTCTTAACGTCTTAAATCCGCTAGGACTGCGTGTTCTGTGTGATCGATATTATAACGAAGCAACGTCCCCATACGCGTCGCTGATCACAAGAGTGTCTTATCAAGCTGTTATCTTGGGGGCTACGTTCTATCTGATGAGATAGCGAACACAACCTGAAGGTTTATTAAGTGGACGGCTTTGCCCTCTTTGTTTAACATCCTCTGACCAAGCACTAGTGTGTACCTAAGATCACCAAGACTCGCAGCTAAGGCCCTCATGTTTGCAAGGATAATATGGCTTAACCTGATGCATAATTAGATTTGGGAGCCATGAGTGAAGAGCCAAGGAGCAACACTTACAATATCCGGATGCTCCGGCCACGGGGTGCCATGAACATTGAGTTCTTCAAAGTCGTTGGGCGGATTCTCCAGTATAGCGTCCATCAAATACTTCGTGCAATGTATGGTGTGGCTGTAGTTGAATGGGGGGTCATAGCCCAGTGAGATCCACAGATGTGTCTGCCGCAGAGTGTACATGCAGTGGTATGTGTGTTCCTTCCTCGTAACCCAGCCGGCGGTCAAGACCTCGCTCGTCGGTGGTATCTCATGTTTTCCGCCCTTATCATAGTACCGATGCCATGGCCCCTCATTATGGAACTGCTCAAGTAGCGCCACATTGTCTTTATGTGCCATAGGCTCTTTGGGCCACCACTTGAAAGACATGGTATCGAACTCGCAGCCCCTATCGCGCGCGATTTTTGGTAGAGCGCCGTTGGGCGCGCAGACGTACCCCGAAAGGTCGAGGTCCATCTTTTGGCAGGTTTCACATGATGGGAAGAAGGCGAGATACGCCAGTATTGAGAAGATGAGGGTGGGTGGAACGAAGAGATACCAAGATCTCCAAGCTGGGTCGAACTTTTGCCATGGGAGGTATTTTCTGACTCTGACGAGTCCGGCCTCTTGATCGACGGAAGAATCTCTCGACGAGCCTTCTTCGCAAGACTCTCCCTCGGTCTCGTCTTTGAGGAGGGAGTATTTCTCCTCGCGTCTGCCTGGCTTTGGTGACATGTTGTGCCCGAAAGGTGGTCGACCCCGCCCGTGAAAGTCTGGGCTGCAGTTGTTTGATGGCAGAGGTGAGTTTCTTGCTCAATGGACAGGCGCTTCGAGGATGTACCGCCAGTATAGATGTGAAGGACTAGAAACTCCGAGTACAAAGCATGAGACGACGACAAATGACACTAGGGTCCAGTGTGCCCAATCGAGTTACAGGCACTATTACGACGGTGAATACAAAAGATTCAATGATAATCACATAGGTGAACGTAATTTTCTCCATTCACCCAGGCAGTCGCTAATACACCGGCTTCGGAATGGAAACCGTCGTGCGGAGTATGGCTCGCTGTGAGATCGGGAGTGGCGGACCGAATGCCCCACATTTCCGGACCGAAGCGCCGATCCACCATCGGTCCGACAAAAATGCCCAGCTCCGGTCAACTCGTAGATGCCATCGGCATTGGTCATTGTATGCAAAAATTTGGCAGGGTTGGAAGTCCCGTTGTCTAAGTCGAAGAAAGTTAAGCTCGCATGGGTACTCTCGTAGCCCCAGTTGTTGTAGCCTCAAGCAGCAACGCCCCTATGACCATTGGAGACTGTACGGATGAGTCAAACTGCGAAGAATAGGAGTCATTCAAGCAGAGCGGCGAAGTTTCTATTACCAAAGCCTTCTATAAATTTTGTCAGCTCTACTGCTTGGTCTGAAGGAAACGTGGTCTTTGCCGTCGCTGCAAAACCTTGATCCAAGGGCCGTGCTGAAAACATGAAGTGTTAACATTCGCTCAAGGCGACACTCCGCCCTTCGTTCCTCTTACTATGCCTGGATAAAGCTAGCCAGAGGAAAAACCTCTAGAAAAGGTACTTCACGAAATATTACCAATGAGAATCGTGATTTATCACCTCTCCATTTCACATGTGCAACTTCAATTATGTAAGCCAGCTTGAAAACCTCGAGGAGTTAGCGCCTCTGAAAAGGACGAGTAGATCTTACGGTCGCTTGAAACATGGCTGAAACCTCACCACCAAGGATCCTTGAAGCTCCCATGTTCGCGAACGTCCCGTTGGGCCCGTTGGGGGTCTATCGGCCATCCGTTGCTCTGCATTCTTCTCGATGAAGAAACGCAACTGGAGTTCATCTCTTGGCGAAATCTTGGTGTTCTTGGCCTCCCAATCGGCTATCGTGGCGGCGTTCTTCTTTTGATGATCTTGTTTCTTTGATTAAACGACAACCATGCTTTCCGAAAATCGTCCACTGGTGTGGTCCTTCTTGGCGCTGTTCCTTGTTTTCGTCTGGAGCCTCCGACTTTTAGGCGTTCATGACGCGATCGCGGATACGGTCTCGACATTCTTTCCCGATGAATCAAACGAAGAAGCGACGACCGAGAGCGGGTTCATGCGACAAGCCATTGATGTCGAATTCCCAACTCCAATCGATTACGCGCCCATTCGGGAAACATGCTCTCGCACTCGGTTTCGCCCTGGGCTGCTCTTCAGCTGCGAAGAACAGCACGGCGGTATTGGCATGGTGCGAAATCAAATACTAAAGTGCGTCCGGTATGCGATCCACGGCGGCGGTGCACTTGTTTTGCCTTCAATGTCCTTGCGTAACGCGAAAGATATTACCGATATCGAGACGGGAAACGAAGTGCCTCTCGATTACCTGCTGGATCGCGAGGCCTTTATAACACGCCTGACAGAAGGATGTCCGGGGATGACCGTGTACGAAAAGGCCACGGACTTTCCCTCCTACGAACACCGGCTAGGGGAGCCTTTGTCGTTAGTGGGAGACCATTTCGAGCCAGACCACCCACGGGAGGGACTGAGATATCCGCGAAAATGGCGATACTTCTTCGACAATTGGCTCGAAGAGCAGGGAGTCCGTGAACACATGGGTCCAGACGCCCCGGTACACATCAAGATGGAGCAATCATTCCTCGAGTATCCCGTACGCGACGACGGTGCCGCCTTTGTGCACGAATTTGGCAAGATCCTATCCTTCAGGAACGACACGCGCGCTCTTGCGGCAAAGATTCTCTACCTACTCAAGGAGAAATTTGCGCTTCCTTTCGATCCAAGAAAGGCCATCAACCCCAATGCCTACTTCGGTGCACATCTACGGCTGGAGAAGGATGCCACATCTGCCTGGGGGCCAGATGAATGGCGGTTCTCTCGGATGGATGACCAATTCGAAGAACAATTCCGCTATCTCGAGCGCACGGGTCTGAACGTTGTCTACGTGGCATCTGGGAATCAGACTGTGGTCGACATTTTCGCGGAAAGGCTCAACAAGTATCTTTCCATAGAGACTGGTACGCCGAGGAGGAATATTACGGTGGTGACCAAAAACGATCTGCTTCTCGGGGCCGATCGCGAGCAGCTAGATGCCCTAACATTTGATCAGCATGCCCTGGTGGATTTTCTTGTCATGTTCAGAGCGAGCGCATTCATGGGCGTCGCCCATTCCAGTTTTCCGTGGACGATTGCCCTGCGGCGGCACGAGCTAAGTAAATATTCGAAATTCGGCAACGAAGGCTCAGATCTACTGAGAGACGAGTTCAGCATCATTATGGGCATGGAGGCCGACTACCCATATGCCGACCCCTTTGTTTATGGCCTGTGGCCATAGAGCCGTTTCGGCATCCCGGAAAGAAATGGGACAGCGACATCGTATGGATAATGAAAGCATTGAAAACCACCATGTGTATAAGTTTTGACAGGCATCAAAATACATGTAGAAAGACTCTAGCATCATAACAGTAGAATAGCAAAAGCAAGAGCACGTCTAATAACATAAATCAGACTGTCCAAGTTCCAAATTCTCTTCCAAACAGGTCGCAATTTGCATTATGAGGTGAGCGCTGCTTTGATGTCGCCCACCGTCTGACTCTGATGGCCAATCAACAGATCAAGCAGGCGTCGATATGTCTGCGTCAAGGTCTTCATGGTAGTCTCAGAGAATAGAGACTCGTAGTAGGTAAGCGTAGCGTCAAGTCGCAATGGCTCCTCGTTGAATGCCAGCACCAGGAGTTGCTGCCGATTTGCCAAATTACTTAGTTCATGAATTCTTTTTCAAGGGCAAGCCATATGACTTACCTCGTGGGGATCTTGCTTCCAGATTGATCGGAACCCAATGTCAACATCATCATCCGAGTACTTGACCTTTCGGTAATTAACTAGGGTATTGAAAAGTCCAGTACCTTCGCAACCCAGCTGACGCTCAACTTCGGTCAAGTCAAAAGTCTTATGCTCCAGGCTGCGGATGTTGTCGTCTTGGAAGGACTGCAACGCCTGAATCATCATCGTTGTATCGTCAAAAGTAGCGCAGGCTATCATCATTGAGAGCATTGGCCCAACAACTTCATCCGCGTGCGGCAAGTCAATATCTCGGTCAGAGACTAAATGCCCGAAACAGACGGTAGAGTGACCAGTGTAAACATGAAGAAGCATGGCCCATGCGAACTGGAGAACGTTCGACAGAGTCACCCCGGCTTCGCGGAGAAACTGCTTCAGCTCGGCTGTGATATTCACCGCAAAGTTGATGGAACCCATGGTATGAGGATCTGAGCCGCTTCCCACCATAGTCTCGATTGGTACCATGTATGGCTTAACACCCTGTAGCTTGTCGACCCAGTAGTTACTGCTTGCGTGGAAATCACGCTGAGTGTTGATGTGCTCGATGTAATCATGAAACCCAGTTAGAGGCTTTGCCCCTGGACTCTGACCACGATAGAGCGCGGCAAAGTCGGAGAAGACATGAGCCAAGCTAACATGATCAATCAATATGTGTCCCATGACGAAATGGATGAATGTCTCCCCATTACGGCCAACAAAAAGGCGCACCGAAACTGGCGATGAACTGTCCCTGAACAGCTTCGAGCGAACGGCGTTCAGATGAAGCCTAGCCTCTCTCGTAGCGTCTTCCTCTGAGTTGACTGCCAAGACCTCGATGTCGGCCTTGTACTCCTTGAGAACTCTCTGAAAGACAGATCCCGAGGCGAGATCGTGGATGAAGACGGTCCTCAGTACTGCATGTCGACTGATGATTTGCTGCCACGCTTCTCGAAGCGCGTTCATATCGACAGATGAAGACCCTCTGATGGCATTCAACACAACAAGACTGTTGAACAAGTATGGTCTCTGAGGCTTGCTAAGGAATGTTTGGTACATCCTCTTCTGGAACGGCGAGCAGGGTACCACGGTCTCGACATTATCGTGAGCCAGGACAGAATGTGGCATAGGGGCATGATTGCTTGTCGTTCTAGGCAGCGCGTGACTTGCTTCGGGACTGGCCGCTCGTTTCGCAATCTTGTTCGCCAGAAGCCTGATGGTTGGATTCGCGAGAACATCTTGCGTTGTCACGTTGAGACCAGCTACTTTGCAGAGTCTCATCACTTGCATCGCTACAAAATGAATGAGCATCAGCCACTTGCGGACCGGTTTAGGAAATGGACTCTCCGACTATACTCACCATAGATGGAATCTCCTCCAAGTCTAAAGAATGACTGCTCAAGGCATACCCGATCTGGATATTGAAAGTTAGATGAGCCCCCATGTTGCCGGTTGCCTGTTAAGGACCGAGTTCACTTACGAGGTTCAAGCCCAAGGACTTCCGCCCATATACCCCTCAAAGTTTCCTCCGTTGACGAACCACACTCATGATCTGAGCCGTCTACTTTATGGAGATCAAGAGCGTCATGGAGCGTTTGATGGTCAATCTGTTCCACCCATTTCATCACCCGTTGCCGATCTAGCTTGAGTGATAGCTGAACTGGGAGACTTTTGACAATGAGCCATGTTTCCGGGATCATGTACTGAGGCAACTCTTTCTCAAGCGCCGAAGTGATTGCATTCAGCGCATCAGTAAGTTTCTGGTGCATCTCCTGGCCCAGGTTGTCTTTCTTGACCATGACAATGTCCTGGTTGTAATCGCGTGTTTCGAGATTCGATGACAGGACTGTCAGGCTCACGACAGCCACAAGACGTCCTTTGAGGTTACCCAATTCCGGCACTAGGACCATGCTGTGAGCAATTATTCCGGAGAAATTGTTGAGATGGTACTGAATCTCGCCAAGCTCAACTCGCTGGCCACGAATTTTGACTTGGGAGTGATCTTTCCTGCGTTGGATGAGGAGGCTTCCATCTTCGGCATACCTCACCAAATCACCGGTCTTATATAATCTCCGAGTGTTTCTGTCATCTTCAAGCGACAAGCTCGTGTCAGCTGTCCATGAAGGAGGCTCAATGAAGGCACTCGCGGTTTTGATCTCGTCATTGAGGTAGCCTTTACCAACAATCGGTCCGTCCAGAAGTAGTTCGCCAACAGCCCCAACAGGCATCAAAATGTGGTGGTTGTCCGGATGAACGACCCAAGCGCGACAACCAACCGGCCAACCAATATTCGTAGCAATCGTGTCCACCTCGAACGGAGCCCCAATGGTGCTGGTCACTGAGCACTCCGTCGGCCCATAGCTAGGCCTCATGTGGATCTTCCCAGCCCAACGAGCCACAAGATCTTGGCCCATCGGCTCTGCATGAACAGTGATGAATTTGACGGATTCCAAATCATCTGGATCAAGGGTTCGGAGGAAGGATGGGGTGAAAGCAGCCCAGTTCACCTGCCTACGCGCGACGAATCCAGGGATGTCGGACATGCGCTCTTCCTCGGACGGGATGCAGATGCAACCACCCGCGACAAGGACGGTGAATATTTCTTCGAGAGAGGCGTCGAAGCAGAAGTTTGTGAACTGCAAGACGCGGGACTCGGGCTTGATTTGTAGCCAGGAGGTGTTGTAAGCCACGGCGGAGCAGAATGACTTGTGCTGGATCATCACTCCCTTTGGTGTGCCTGTTGTTCCTGATGTGAAGATGATGTAGAGTGTGTTCAAAGGAGTAACTAAACGGGTGAGTGATATCGCAGAGTTTACGAAATTCTCGATGGATGTCCTTTCGACGACAATAAGAGTTTCCATGAGACTTGTCAGCTTGTCCGACTGTTTTGGCGAAGACAGCCCGACTCTGGCTCCGGTCTGCTCGACCACAGACTTATTCCTCTTTGCAGCACCATTTGGATCAATGTGAACGAATGCCGCCCCGGACTTTGCCACTGCAAGCATTGAAACCACTGCCCACAGAGACTTTTCGAAACATAGAACGACGACATCTTCTGGCACAATACGCATAGCCTGGAGTCGGGACGCGAGGTTGGTGGATAGAAAGTCCACTTCGGCGTAAGACAAATCGCCGTCCCAGGCGCAGATGGCTGGCCTCGAGGGCTGTCTTTGGGCTGTCTCTGAGATCATGTCCTGGATACAGCGGCCGTTGGTCTTGAGTGGGGATGAGTTCCATTCCTGCATCTGCTTCTCATCTAGTGCGCTGGTGAGGCACATCTTTGAGATCTCAGTCTCTGGATCGTTGATGATGGCTCGCACGGCGTTTAAGAAGACAGATAGAATGCGCTCCGCTTGAACTTCGGACATGAAGTGTGTTCTAGTCTCAATGTTGATATGAAACTGCCCTTGATTCTCGGTGATACACAAGGCGATGTCGTACTGATCAAGGAGAGTCAGCAATCTCTCAGTCCATCATGTCTCAACTGCGTGAGAACAAAACAAAAAAGACCATATTACCTCGCTTATGTCATGCGCAAAAAGCAGCTCCGATTTGATCCTTCCCTGCCCTAGCGCTACGGTCGTCTTTTGAAAGTTGAAGATGGTGTTGAACAAGGCATCCCCACTTCGCCGGGCTGCATGATGGATTCGCGCCAAAGAAACAGCCTGTCTGGTAAGATGATCAATGTTATCTTCCTGTAATGCAGTCAAGATCTTCGACATCGCCGTCCGCGAACTTAGCTGTACTCTGACGGGCACAATATTGGCCATCGGACCCACGATCTCCGACGCCCCTGGAATCGGAATGTCTCTTCCGTGGCCGAGAAGACCAAAGACCACGTCGTCTGATTTTAGGTATGTCGACAAAACCACTGACCACGCAGCTTGAAAGATGATTGGACTCGTGAGATCTAACTTTCGACATGCTGAGTTCAAATCGCTCTTTGGAAAAGTGGCAGTTGTGCGGGTAAACTCGAGAGTTTGGAATGATGATGCTCGGTGTCGACGTAGTATTGGAAACAGGCATGACGGCGCACCATCCAAATAGAGGCGCCAATATTGTGCGATCTCATCGGCATTTTGCTGTTCGACATAGTCGATGTAATTCGAGTAGGGGCAGGCGTCTTGATGCGGACGACCGTTTAAAGCAGCCAGGAAATTTCGAATCAAGAGGCGAGAGGTCGTACCATCAGTGATGATGTGATTCTTGTCCAAAAGACAGTATACGGAGCCATCATTTGCGGTGTATATCTGAAGCTTATGGAGTATCTTTCCGCTCAGGGGTTTAGGTGCGACCGAGGAAGACTGCTCGGCCCACAAGGTTGGCAGGTCACTCTCGCTTTGAAGCGTGCGGACCTGGATTTCGGCTTCGACAGTCTTCAAAGCAACCTGAAGAAATCTTCCAGACTCATCTTCAATGAAGACAGTCCTCAGAATTTGGTGCGTCGCAATGACCTGTTTCCAAGCTGCTGAGAGGTCATCAGGACTGAGTGGCATTGACCCAGAGAGCTTGAAGAGAAAGTGCTGGCAGTACTGATTGTTTACACTTTTCAGCTGTGACAGCATGAGGCTATCTTGAATTGGAGAGCAAGGAAGTACTGATTCTATCTCGGTAGGTGTGATGCCGAGGCGGGATTGAGCGAGTTTGAGAATGGAGTTGAGTTCCTTGCGTTGAAGTCCAATCGAGGCAACCAAAGGCTCCGATGGCGATGGTGGCAATCGCTGATATTCGCCCATGAGACTGACTGCGAAGGCCTTCAGACTGAGTTCGAATTGGTGTAGCCAGTCTACCAAAAGATGTTGGTGGTGCATCCGAGAGTTCCACTCAACTTGCAGGGACAGCTTATTATCCTTCATAGATGCCAAGATTGAAATCAGGGCATATCTCGATGAGTCTGCACGCTGCTGTTGTCTGAGGCCTGATATTTTCTCCTGCATCTCGTGGCTGCATCTCTTGAATAAAGAATCGGTTTTCTCGAACTGCTGGAAAGCCCCGAGATAGTTTAGAGTGACCTCCATGGGATGATGGTGCTCGAACGCCTCCTCGCCAGCTTTGCTCAGGAAACGTGATGCGAAGTAAGCAAATCCATTGAGGGGAACGTGTTTACGGAACTCGCGGATATCTCTTAGAATGTCATCATGGCCATTTGCGATGATGGGAGACAAAGTTGTGAACCAGCCAACAGTGTTGGACGGGTCCACCTCAGGGGTGAAGATTTCTCGCCCGTGGCTTTCACTAAATAGGCCAGGAGAGCGTCCGAATATCTCAACAAACGACTCGACAACAGAGGCCAACAGCATGTTATGAGCTCCTCTTCCAGACACGTCCTGTACTGAAACTAGTTGTTCAGAGATATTCGAGTCGAGAGTGATGATATGAGAAATACAGTCCCCGAAACAGTTTCTCTCGTCTGCCATGCCCCAGAATGACAGATTCGCGCCAATTGCATGAGCTGAAGGAGGCAAAACGTTTTGAGGTAGTAAGTTTGATGAAAATCGATGTTGCTCTAATGTCCAATGTTGGAATGATGTCGCTTCATCTGCGATCGGCGTCTCGAACAGGAGGTACGACTCCAACTCACGCAAGAGTATTCGCCACGATACTGCATCTACGACCAGGTGATGAATTGTCATAGATAAAAGGGTCTGGCCCTGAGACTCGAATAAGTCCACAGCCACCAGAGGACCGTTGGAGAGATGGATCGACCTCTTGGCCTCGCTGACGCACTCAACCACGTAGTCGAGCTGTTTGCGACTGTGGAATCGCACGCGACAGTAGTCAACGACGCTGATGGCAGATCTAGCAGGCAGATGTTGCGTCCACTCGCCATGTAGACATTGGAAATGCGCGCATAGCATCGGGTGAGCCTTGAGGAGAATGCCCAAGGCCAACAACAGCTTTTGTTGGTCAATAGTCTGGGTGACTTCAATTACCATGGTCTGTTGATCAAGATCATCACCCTTGGGCGAAGTTTGGAAGTGAAGTTTCTGGATGGGAGAAAGGATGAATGTCTGCGGTTCTGATGGACCTTCGGACATGTTGGTTTGAGCTGAAGCAGGCGAGATAGCTCTTACGAGTTCTTTGGCCAAGCGCTCGATTGACCGGTACCGAAGGATGTCCGCAGCTGATATGTTCAACCCATTTTGCCTCGCCATGCTGCTGATGGTCATCGCGGAGATAGAATCACCCCCTAAGACAGTTTGATGAGTCCCATATAATATGTGCGCTCTTGACATTGGTAAAACTTACCAAGATGGTAAAATGAGGTGTTCCAGCGAATCTCATCTTCACCAACATTCAGAGCTTCACTCCAGATGCTCCTCAACCTCATCTCGGGCTCCGTACCCTCTCTTTCAAGACTGTCGTCATCCATGCGAGGTAATAAGCTGGCAAATTCATCAGGGGTGAGGCTCTCTAGAAATTTGGTTACTCCTTTGCGATCAAGTTTCCCCGAAAAATTCCTTGGCAGGGATTTTAGAATGAACCACAGCTCTGGGTTCATGTAGGGTGGTAACTTGTCGAGAAGGAATCCCCTCATGCAGTCGATATGCTCAAGCCAAGGTGCGTCTAGAATCTCAATGGGCGATGCGGATATGTCTGCGGGCGTTGCTGAAACTGAGCTATTGAGCATTACGACAGAAACCAGTCTTTTCGCACAAGGTCCGGATTTTGGAACTAGGGCGAGGCAATGCTGCACTCTTGGCTCGAGAACCAACTGCCGCTCGATTTCTCCTAGCTCAATCCTTTGACCCCTAAGCTTTACCTGCCCATCTCTTCGCCCGACAAAGTGGAGTTGACCAGCAGAGTCGTATTTGACTAGGTCTCCGGTCCTGTAGAGTCTTTTACCAAGTGCCCATTCGAGGCCCTCGACGAACGAGATCGATGTTTGTGCGGAGTCACCCAGGTAACCCCTAGCAAGAATCGGGCCTTCTATTAGGAGCTCGCCTACTGCACCAACAGCTTGGAGGATGCCTGGGTCATCAGGCCTAGCGACATATGCTGCACACCCGGGAACGGCAGATCCGATGTTAGTGGGACTGATGTCTTGTGAGATTGACGGACTGATTGTGCTAGTGACACTACACTCCGATGGACCGTAAACCTGGATGAGTTCTGTATGTGGTGGACAGGCCCAGTTGTGAATGTTCTTTGCAGTCATTGCCTCCCCACCAAGGACCATGGTTCTCATTGTCGGTAGCGTGGCGGGAGTGAACATCTCGGCGAATGAAGGTGTCAGATGTGCCCAATTCGCCCCTGACGCTGATGCAAAGCTGGCTAGATCCGGGTAACTTAGCCGGTCGTCCTCGCATGGAACACATAAACAGGCACCGACGGCAAAAGTTGTCAGATGGTCTTCCATACTGGTGTCAAACCCATAGGAAGCAAACTGCAACACCCTCGAAGCGGAGTTGATGTGTATTCCATTGCTGTGAGCTTGAGCTGCATATGCATACGCTCGATGTTCCACAATGACTCCCTTTGGCTTGCCTGTAGAACCAGAGGTGAAAATGATGTATGCCGGGCTGTTGGGAGAAATACGTGGCAGCGGAATGGTATGACCTTTCTTCAAAGAGACCTGGTTCACGTCAAGTTGAAGGACCTCCTTAGCCAAATGCCGGAAAAATGGCGCCTGTTGCTTCGAGCAAATGACAAGCCCGAATTCTGTAGAGATTCCTAACTGCTGCAGGATATCCCTTCGTCGAGTCTCGGGATTCGAAATGTCAACAGGCACGAAAGCATTACCGCTCTTCAAGACGCCGAGAAGGGCAATGGAATACCACTTTGACTTCTCGAAGCAAAGCGCAATGAAAGCTCCAGGCCCAATGCCCCGCCTCAAAATCTCTTGAGCGACAATGGAAGCAGCTTCATCAAACTCTTCGTAAGTCATATTTCCGTCCCACGAGTGGATTGCCGGCGCATTAGGCTGGAGACGGCCTTGATTCTCGATCAAATGGTGAACGCAAGTTGACCGTGGACCAAGCGGTGGAGCAGGTATGCGGGAGTTCCACATCGTGACTTGTTGCATGTCCCAACTACTTATTGTGGTTGTTGATCTGACGGCAGCTTGTGCATCTTCCGTCTCGATCAGCCTTGATAAGATGCTTGAGAAGGTATGCGAGACGTTGCTCGCCATTGCCGATGATAACGTGGTGGTCGAATACGCGAGCCGCACTCGGATATCCGAGTCTGAATAGACAACCTTTAGCACAATATCGAAATCAGAGGCGTTATGGGATGAGATAAGCTTGAAGAAGGTGCTGCTGCTGGCGTCGGACATGAAAGGCGAGTAATACGAGGTCATGATGGTGTTGAATAGCTTGGTTTCGTTGGTTCCGAGGATGCGCTGCACCTTGCCAATGGAGAAGCACTGGTGTGGCAGCGCGTTCAGAAAATCGTCTCTGATAGTATGGAGAAGATCTTCGAGCGACATGTTGTCGATTCCACCGACACGGCAGACGAGCAAGTTCATCATCGGCCCAACGATTTGAGACACTCCAGGAATCGGCAGACTTCGCCCGGAAGAGAGGTAACCGAAGCAAATATCTGGGTCTCCCGTGTAAGTGTGCAGAACAAGAGACCAGACAGCCTGCAGCATATTCGATATGGTCGCATTGTGCTTTTGGCAGAAGGCGCGGATGTCATCTAGACCGACATCGAGGGGCATTTCGGAAACGTGGAAAGATCCGGCATCACCTACGTGGTTGTCGTTCATAACTGGGAAATAACAAGGCTCTGTTCCGTCCAGGTAGTCGATCCAGTAGCTGAGCGCGCCGTCTTCGTCCGTCTGGGTTTGTAAGTAGTCAATGTATCGCCCGTACCCTGGTGCTTGGCCAGGAAGCCGAGAGCCCTGCAGCCCCTTGACCAACTCATCTACGATTATTATCAATGAGCTACCGTCAACGGTCAGGTGGTTCAAGTCCATCTGAAACAAAACCCGACCTGGATCTTGAACATCGAGGTAAATCGTGATTTGGTTTTGGTGCCTCTCTTCGTCTGCATTGACTGTCCCAAGATTCCCATTTGCGAATTGGCGTCTTATCTCTTCCAGGTCTTCCACATCTTTCATAACCATGGGCTCTGGTTTAGACTTTAGCACGACTGCATCTAACAAACGGCCAGATGTGGCATCCGGGGTTTCCACGTAGACAGTTCGGAGGGTTTGGTGACGGTTCAGAGTGTCGTTCCAACAGGTTTGGAAGTGACCCAGGTCAAACTCGGCCTGAGTCTCAAAGAGCCCACGGGTCCGGTACAGTCGCTTAGATACCATCTTCTGACCGATATACATGCTCTCTTGCATTGGGCTGCAAGGATAAACGTCTTCGACAGCATCATCGCCGACGTCGTACTTCTCCCGCAACTCGTCAAAAATTTTGGTAAAATCATAGTCGAGAGGCATCTGCGGAAACTTGCCATCTCCCTGTCTGAGTTGCTGAGTCGAAGAACACCCAGCGTCATTGTTGGAAGCTAGCGAGGCGACTTCTCTCAGGGGTCCGTGGAGTAGGTCCTGGAATCGGACGCCTAAGCCCTGCTCAGCGCATTTTTGGTACAGGTGAACTGCCTTGAACGAGTCTCCTAGAAGATTATGAGCACCTCCACGATCACAGAATTGAGCAAGTCTTGCGGCGCTCACCTCCAAGGGTAACGAAAGAAGATGCATCATCAATATCTTCAACCGGGACCGTCAAAATGCTGGAAACAAAAGTCTTCAGCTGATCGAAGATAACTTGCGTCCTGCCTTCTTGAGCAGAGATGGCAGCCATGAAGGGCGAAAGTGAGATGTCGGCTTGGATCGTAACACCACTGACTGACTTGGCTGAGGTTGAGTATATGCACTTTACTGGTACCTCTAGTCAAGTGCTGAGTCACTCATCAACATAGAACTGTAGCTAAATTGATCGATATCAGATACTCTGAAGTCGTTGCTGTAGCTAGAAACGATAAAGTGCCCTGAAAAGTTTGAGAAGCCAACTACCTAGGGTCTCCCTAGTGTGCATGGCTCTATGTTCAATTGCCGTCGCTCACAAACCTCGAGTCCTTCTTTCTCAGCATCCACCTGGCGTGCCACGCCGGACTGGCGACGAACATGTTTCGGTCCGAACCCCAACTCTATTCAGTACCAGCTGGAAACATCAAATCACTGGGCACACCCGACATTAAAGAAGTCTTCCATGAAGAGTCTGAAGCACCAAAACACCGGCTGTTTTTTGACCTCGGATATTTCAAGAGCCGGTAAAGTACGGGCAGTAAGGCCAACGGCGGTGATTCTCATCCGGGCTTAGACGAGGCGATTTGGAGCAGTTTGGGTCACCACACTGTGCGCACCCACACAGTTGACATGGCCGAATTGTGAACTGTGACGCTCTCACTGTGAATCAAATTAGTGGCAGCGATCGGCACTTGAGTTAGACGTGCATGTCTCTGCAACATGACAACTCCAAATTTGACTGCACGTCTTTAATGAACCCTTGCTTGGCTTCTTCTTCGATTGAAACACATATATGATGATTCGCATGCAGAGGGAGTTGAAATCGAAGGCCGACGCTCAACTCCCAAGATTCCAAGGATGAAAACCTCCGGTTCTTAAAACCACGCATCGCATGAGCGCACAGCGACGTCACCCAAGCACTTCTGCTGCTAGCAGGGGGTCAAGGCAATCAAGAGCAACGAGCAAATGGGGGCGCTTTATCCACGATATCGTATGTGCTTCTTATCTTTAGTGTCTTGAAACTGCTAGGGCCACGAGATAAACCTGCTTGCCCACGCGTTTACCCACAGACACTGACATTCTGCGGCTCGCGTTTTGACGTATGACGAAATGACTTTGATTTGATATTAATAGCGAGTACGCTCTTTATTTCTCACAATGGCATGTATAGTTCCTGGTACATCAATTGTTTCTCATCTGAGCCTCAGTCCACCTTTGCCTGCTCAAGTGGTGTTAGCGCCATCAATCATCACAATTTCAAGGCCATCGGTTGAGAGACCCACAGTATCAACAAAGTCGTCACCATGGGTGATCTAGGTAACTTGTAGCCTACGTCTTCTGTCTCAACTCCCCACTGACCACTCCGCAGGACATGAACAGCAGCCGACTCGTGAAAATGACACCATGTTTCAGGCTTTCGAATGGAATATTCCGGCAGATCAACAGCACTGGAAACGCTTGAAAGAAGCCGTCCCGAAGCTCAAGGCCATTGGAGTCGACAACATCTGGCTTCCACCGGGTTGCAAAGCACAATCAGCAGAGGGCAACGGTTATGATATCTACGACCTTTACGATCTAGGCGAGTTCGACCAAAAAGGCGGCAAGTCGACGAAATGGGGACCGAAAGAGGACTTGGTTGAGCTTTGCAAGGCGGCTAAAGAGAACGGAATCGGGGTCTACTGGGACGCGGTGCTGAACCACAAGGCTGGAGCTGACAAGACGGAGCGATGCCGCGTTGTCGAGGTTGACGAGAACAACCGCAACAAAGAGACATCCGAGCCCTACGAAATCGAAGGATGGTTGGGTTTTAACTTTCCGGGTCGGGGAGACAAGTACTCTAGCATGAAGTGGCACTGGGAGCACTTTGGCGGCACCGATTGGAACCAGGAGAATGAGCGCAAGGCCATCTACAAGATCATGGGCGACCATAAGGAGTGGTCTCAATCGGTTGGTGACGAGCAGGGCAATGCCGACTACATGATGTTTGCCGACATTGACTACTCACACCCTGAGGTCCAAGACGACGTCAAGAACTGGGGCACTTGGATCACCAAGGAGTTGGGGCTCAAAGGCTTCCGTCTTGATGCTGTGCAACACTTCAGTCAGCGATTCACGAACGAGTGGATCGACAACTTGCGAGATGAATGCGGCAAAGACATGTTCATCGTCGGCGAGTTCTGGACCGCGGAAACTGAGCCGATGAAGGAATGGCTGGAAACGATGGACCACAAATTCTCCCTTTACGACGCGCCGCTCGTCTACAACTTCAGTCAAATCAGCACCACCGAGGGCGGTGATTTGAGGAAAGTCTTTGACGGCAGTCTCGTACAAGAGAAACCGATAAATGCGGTTACTGTGGTCATGAATCACGACACACAACCAGGTCAAACGATGGACACAAAGATTGAAGGCTTCTTCAAACCTCTCGCGTACTCTCTCATCTTGCTCCGTCAAGAGGGCTATCCTTGTCCCTTTTACGGGGATCTGTATGGGATGAAGAAGGACTCGGAGCCGCCATCCTGCGGCGGAAAGCTTGCTGACCTGATGCTTGCTCGTAAGCTTTATGCTTACGGTTCTCAGGAGGATTACTGGGACGACACGAATTGCATTGGCTTCGTGAGGCGTGCAACCTGGGACAAACCGGACGGGCTTGCATGTATAATGAGTAATAAGGGCCCTGGCCAGATTCGCATGGCGGTCGGCCAGGAACATATCGGTGAGAAATGGACCGATTTGCTAGGCTGGGAGGAAGGCGAGGTGGTCATTGACGATGAGGGCTTTGGCGTCTTCAAGTGCTCAGGCGTATCGGTATCTGTTTGGGTTAACAAAGATGCTCAGGGTCGTGAAAGGTTCCCGACCAACTTTGATTCCAACATCTATTAGGAATAGATGGATGAATCGTAGTTGTATAGGTACTAAGGTAGTCATGGGTTAGAAAGATGCCCCAATTGGATGACTGGACATGCTCCTTATAAATCTTCATGAGTAAAACTCCGAGATTTCTACTCAACCCATCTCAGATATGACAGGTTGCATCTTGCCTTTTATGTGAACTTGTGAAGTCAACCACTGCAATTTTCAACGAGTCTGAGTGCAACGTGGAGACATGTGTGATTTGAGAACAACACATCCTAAACTCAGGTGGCATAGCATGAGCTCGCAAGCTTGAGTTCACAGGACGGGCTGGTTTCGTTCGAGTGTAGACCCTCCAGTCTCGCCCACGTTGTCCATCCACGCGCAATTTCGAAATCTGTTCAGGCACTTGGTCATGCTCACTCAACTACATAGCTCATACACTTTCTTCCGCAGTGGAGGAAGGCAAACGTTGCGGCTTCACCGACTTCTGCATTCAGACTCGGAGGCCGCGCACAATCTCGACGCCCACGTGTCGCTCGCGAGGGAAACCCATTCCGGATTCCGTTAAGGACCACCGCCATAGGTAGATCGCGCCACCACAGGCACCCTGATGAGTTCTCATCTTGGTTCGGATTGGTCATAATTTTCTCTGACATCGTATCTCAGCGAGTAAAGGCTCAAAGGCAAATTCTTCGGACACAATCCGTCACCACAAGCCATGTTGGCCCCCGTTCCCAAGCTGCGTGGCAGCCTGAATACACTCCGTTAGTTAATTTTCAAGTTTTCCTGGAATCAAAGCAGCCTCAGTAGCCATCAGGTCCTGTTCTTTACCTTGATTCCTAGTCTGTGGCTAAATTCTGACATATTTCTCGGCTTGCTATATGGGGTAATGCGAAGAACGACGGACAATTTAACAAACAGCAGAAGATCAACGTGATGTCATTCGAGCCCGGCACCCGGGACGTTCGACAGCCACCGCCTCACCCGGGGCGCCGCTTGCATCAGTCTTGGTACTCTTGAGTACCGCATTAAAGCGACTGACTCCAGGCCGATTTCCATGCCTAATTGGCGTTGACGGTCTTGGCCCTTCCCAAATTCAGTGTTGGTGAGGTCGGTTGTGCTGGCTTAAGCTCAGACCGGCGTAGCCCAGCGTGGGGCTCGTCTTAGGTCTACTTGTAGATGCTGAAGGCAAATGTGCTGGGGAAAAGCCAATGAAGTTGGCCATGTGTCAAGGCTAAACTACACAGATGTCTAGTTCAACATTTTGCCAGGAACCAGCATCGCCGAATCAAGATCAAGTGTGGTTGGAAAGCATCTTGACGCATCTGAGGCGGTAGAATAATTCAGGCGAAATTGATGAAGAAATTGAGATTTCACCACATCGCAAGCTTTGAAGGCACCACGGGTGAAGCATGAGTGGAAGCGCGACCCGCAATCCGAGTGGGTTTCTTTTCATTTACAGCGCAAGGAAGCTGATCCATTCATCGTCGAAAAATATATCCTATTCGGGTGGTCGTAAAAAACATAAGCATCTAAGATCCTTCCTCAGCCTCCTGCCCAAGAAGCCTCTCCCTGACTGGAGGGGCGGGAGCATCGGGAGGCTGCCGGCAGTGCACCATGACAAACAGAAAATATCAAAAAATAGCACACCAGATTGACCAGACAGCGCCAGCAAGGCACCCAAATGGAAGCCTGCGGGACCCCTGCAAGCTGCAAGCCAAGCCACCATGCTTGACGGAGAGCCTAAAGCGGTCTAGGACACTGACATCCCCGTGGGAAACCCGACGATGGCACCCTCGAGAAATCCTCGTTGTTGTTCATTAATGATGAGCTGTTTGGATGTGTGGGGATACGGCTTTGCCCTATGAGGCCCTTTGCGCGAGGATCTTGCTGTTCGTTCAATGTTGCGACCGAAGTTCAGGTTTTCCTTGCAGCCGGATCTCTGAATCTCCGGCTCTGACATCCGCACCGGCGCTTGTTCGACTCTCGAGACAGATGGCCTAATTAGCCTTTGAGGGTTTTTAATACGCTAGCTGTGGAAGAGACCATGATGTCACTTCAAGTTGCGTGATCTTCATTGTTGCTCCCTACCTTAACTGCCACGAAGCTCTTGGTCAGTGAAATCAGGCTCTAGGCCTGCCACTGACTCGAGTATTCGACCATGATCGTGACAAGGACGATCTACAATGCACTATCGGGATGAACCACCACCTTCGACTTGTATGCGCACCGACTGGTTGGGTCTCGAGGTTTGGACGGAAATAAGCCCTGGGCGGCGGCAAGTTAAGCCTATCTACCTCGGACGAAACCAACAGTACTTTGGCATCAGTTTTTTTGAGCCGACGAACCGTGGACCTAGACTTTCAGTGATGAAGCCTCACCTCATCTGAGCTGAATCCACAGTCTGTTGATCTCTGGGAAATTGACATGATTGGACTTATTCGTGGTGGACAAATCAACGATGACTTTGCCATAGACCCCATACTGCTGACGGTGGGACGCTGTTGCTTGCTGATGCTTGTTCAGCTAATGCCGTTGCGGCGATCCTGAAGGATTATGGCTCCACGTATTAGCGCACCGTGCTTTGGGGGTATCCCAACGCGTCTCTTTTGCATTCCTCTTGTGTTTACTCTCTCTCTACAGCTACCGCAATGGCGAAGCGAAGATTCGGTTAGTATCTCACACGTAGACGTTTGCGGCGCGTCTTCTTCGGATATTCCGTGCAAGTTCGTCTGAAGAAAGGAACAACCTTACTCAACCCGATGGCTTTCGTCCACAGGCATCTGCATTTACTGTAAGAACGGTATCCGCACCATGATTTAAGCACACAGTCACCGTGGTTCACCAAGTTTCGGGGCCTTCGTGATTCAACCACTGCGGCCCCGCCGGGGAACATGTACCTAAGCGTCGTCCGCCGAAGGATTCAATAAAGTATCGCCCATCAAAGAAACCGTTCAACCACTATCGCTATTCCAGGAAACCGAAGAACAAGGTGACCGGGTTTTGGGGGCTGTGAGGAACGTCGCCCCGACGCCAGCATGCAGGCTAGTCATCTTAGCGTCGACCCCGGCGAGCCTTGTTGTCTTACTCCAAAGCTGAGCCCGTCCCGCCGTGCCTAACCCACAGCCTCACCTCGCCTGTTTAGGCTACTCGTTATTCCATCATGAATCCCCGAACACGCTTGTCTGCTGTCGAGGCTGGGGTAAAGCGGAGAACTAGCTGTCGCTCAAACAGACGGTCATCATGGCGACTGAGGGTTTGATATAAGACCTGGCGCTTCTCCCAGACTCCATTTTAAGCCAGCGAGAATCTGAGTAGCATCTACATCGTCTCGGATTATCATCCTATCTGCTTGTTCATATAATTGTCTGTCACCGGTTGTCGAGATGCGATCATCATTCACCTGGGCACTAGCCCTCGCGGGAGCTGCTTCTGCGAAGCCTACGCAGACAACCTCGCAGGCAACACATACTGGACACCATGCGACTTCAACACCAGCAAATGCATGTGCCGTTGCACAAGCAGCTGCAGAGTCGTTCCTCTCATCCAGACCAAGTGCAACCGCAGCTGCGATAAAGCCCTCAATCGCATACGAGTGTCTCAAGTCAATCCCTGTTGATAAGCAGAATGACTTGGATCTCCTGAACTATATCGAGCCATACATCAACTTCCAAAGCACCTTGGAGCCCCTGGCCAACCCTCCCGAAGGCTATCTCATTCCCGGTGTGGATGTAATTGCTGGGCTCGGCCAGATCCGAGCCCGTGTAATGAAAGACAAGTATAAGAGCCAGATTGATTTCGCGCTCGACATCAGGCGGCTGGTAGGTTATGACTGTCATGGAATCCAGTTGGTTGCCTTTCAAACAACATCTAACATTCACTAGTTTACTCAAGCTTCCGATGGCCACTTCAGCTATAACCCAGCCCTTCTCAACCTCTTCACCTTCCGCAGTCAGAACAACCTCGTTTCTGTTTCCGACGATGGTCTCAGCGCTCCGAGAGTATATCTCATCAGCGACTTCATCAAGTCTTATGTCAACGACACTGATGTCTATGATATCAAGAGCATCGATGATATCCCCATCACCGAGTGGCTGGAGGCACAGTCTGCCCGAGTGCTCACCCAGGACCCCGACGCCAAATACAACGCTCTCTTTAACACGAACCCTGCCACAGAGTTCCAAGGTGTAGCCAACGAATTTTCCCTACGCTTCCCTGGACATTGCCCAGACAAGCAGGTGATCAAGTTCACCAACGGCACCGAGTACGTGGATCAACTTGTAGCCATTGTCGGCGCATCGCTGGTCGAGTATCTCAGCAGCGCCGAGGCCATTCACTCCAAGGTCGAGCTGCCCCCTACCAGCACCAGCTCTGTTGCTTCCTCCTCGTCAGCTACATCCTCATCCACCTCCAGCGCAACACCTACCACGACTCAGATTCCGGGATACCCGCTGCCAGTATCCAAGCACGCGAGTGACTGGATTTCTACGTACTTCCTCAACGGCTCCTACGACGACACCGCCGTCATCGCCGTGTCTTCTTTCGCTCCGTCCGATATCGACACCGCAAACGGTACCTTTGAAATTGCCGAGGCTAGGCGTGTTGTTGATGTCTTCCTGAAAAAGGCTAAGGAGGCAGGCAAGAAGAAACTCGTCATTGACCTCCAGGCCAATGGTGGTGGATTCATTGCCGCCGGGTTTCAACTCTACAACCAGCTCTTCCCCAAGACCACCGATATCTGGGATGGGAACCGCATTCGTGCCCACGAAGCCTTCGACGCTATTGGACTGACCGCTCAAGAAGCCTCTCCCGATACTCTGGCAGACTTGGTTTCCAATGCACTCAACGATAAGCTTGAGCCTTTCAAGACTTGGGAAGATCTCTATGGCCCGGAAGTGATTGCCGGACAGAATGTCACAAACCTATTGCGCTACAACCAGACTCGCGTTGGTTACCCCAAGAGCACCGGGGATCAGGTCTTCCTGCCAGAAAACATTGTTGTCATTACCGACGGCATCTGCGCCTCTACTTGCACCATCTTCACGGGTTTGTTGGTTAGAGAACAGGGCGTCCGCACGATTGCCTTGGGAGGTCGCCCATCGGAGGCTCCGATGCAAGCGATCGGCGGTGTTGAGGGTTCAGAAGTCCTCGACTGGCCGACTTTGCAGGCTGCTGTCATGCAGGTTGCCAGCGACGCCATTGCTGCCAACGAGACTGACATTCTCGAGGCAGCATTTGATGTCCTTCCTGACCTCGGCGACCCTCCCCTGCTTCCCACTCTCGCCAAGTCAGGTGGCAGTTTCAATTACCGCAACGCTTACGCTCGTAAGCGTCCGGATGGATTCCCAGAGCAGTTCATTTATGAGGCTGCCAACTGTCGTTTGTTCTACACGTCGGACATGCTTACCAACATTACCGAGATCTGGACACGCTCTGCCGACTCTGCTTGGAACAAGGCCAAGTGCGTTGCCGGATCGACTGTCAGCAATGACAGCATCATCAGCAATGACATTTTGCCTTACAGCGATAAGGTCATTGGCATGAATTTGGAGTACAAGGGACCTGGTAGTCTGTCATACAAGGGCGCCTACGAGCCTCCTTCTCCTTACGTCCAGAAACACGCTAACAACAAGCGTTCCATTGTCGAGCAGCTCAATGTTCCCGAGAACTTTGTCTACAAGCCCACAAAGCACAAGATTGGTGATCTCAAGGAGTACCTTGCTCAGAACATGCCGGAGGGCTTCAAGTATGAGCAGAAAGATAAGATTGCAATCAGCCACACTCACCTTAACAGGGCTTGATTGAGACAAGAGTTTGGAGGACAATGATTACGAAATGAAAGTTAAAGAGGATAGCCGTGAATTTCATACCTTTGTACCTATTTAGACACTCGTTGATACCCAATGGATTGAATTTCCCATTGATATTAGAATTCCCCCTTGATGGTCCAGCGACCTTGAGCCCTCAAAATCGTCATAGATCTTGCGAGACGAATCGGTGAACCACAAGTTCCAAGATCTCAAGGTTCGACATTCAATTACAGTCTGCCAAGGCGCTAAGTCGCAACTGACACAAACAGTCTCGCAAAATCTTGCTCGTTCCTGCATTTAACTCGGTTGAGGGCGATCGAGGATCTAGAGTCTAACATAGCCAAAAATCTCGCTTGAGTCTCGGTACTGAAGAACTTTAATCAGCCCAACATGGCATGAGTTCGGCGAAAATCAGCCAAAGTCGCATATTTCAACATGCTGTGCTCGAGCATGTCGCTAAGGACGAGTCAAAACTTACAATTGCGTATTCCATATCCGTATCATTTCCGACATGTAGAAACACTGCCCGGGCAGCGAGCCAGTTCCACAGCTTAGGGTTTATATGTCGACCGCCTCAAATGTGATGCAGCTAAGTTAGCCGGAAGGAAGGGCTCTAAGTTGGATCCATCTCTCTCTCTCTCTCTCAAAGCTTTGTCGTTATTTTTCTGAGTTAATAATCTTGCCGGCGTGAGCAATCAAGAGATGGACCCACTCTCGATGAATTCATCGCTCTCGGTCTTCGACAATCTAAGGTAATTTAAATTGAGTTACACGTATCCGAACAACCTCTCCTCTGTAACACTGCGAGACTACGACAGAACTACACAGCATCATGACCTATTAAGGATCACCCTCTTCATGAACACTCCCAATCCTGCATTTTCAAAGAACTATTACAGATTACTCATTACACCGTGGGGTCTCATTGTAGGTAGGGTGACCATCTTACCACATCACCAATGTCCAAGTCAAGGATTAACATGATCTTTACAAGTCCCAAGGCGCTCTGCGTATCTCGGCAAGGTCCAAATTGGGCTGAGACCCCATTGTTATGGAATCCCCGCCGGGCTTCAGAACGCGACTCATGCTAACCTCTCGTAACCTTTTACGGCGAGGTCTTTTTCGAGCGAACATAATGGCTCGGGCTCTGGGACTGCGATTAAGCTTTTCGAGCCTCGGCACACACAACCGACTGAGAAAATGACATCCTTACTTGAGAGGGATCACGGCATTGCAGTGGAATTTCCCTCCTTGACATGGAGCTGGCTTCACATGTTTCGTCCCAATGAGCAAGTTTGACGAATTTGCTCCAATGTAGGCCCACAACATTTGACCTTATTTGTTAACAATTCGTATTGACAGAAACATGTAACAAAGCATCCAGTCCTAAAAACACAAATAAAGCTTAATGGGAATACAGCCTGAACTTCTGCCCATGTCCTTGGGACGTAACGTTGACATCGACTCCCATAAACTAAAACAGCCACGTGTAAGTGCGGAACGGCAAAATTCTGTGTCTACATGCGCAGTTGGACTGTGTTTATTTTGCTCAAGTAAACCTCACTGTTTATCGCTCTATGTTGTGAACATACCGCTGCTTCGCAACGCCCGGGCTCTATGCTAGGAACTCTTGTCATTCAACACTGCACGGAGTTGTTTGCCTGACACGACTCTGTGCTACTCAGGTAGTTTAGGTTCTTCAAGGCTTCATTCCCTTCTCCGAGCGAGTATCATGTGAACCTGCCATTTGAGTTCCAACGGCCCATTCCCAATCTCCTTCGTAATTTCTTGCCATTTGGGCGACTGCCATGAATCTTCAGTAAAACCAAACCGCATAGACTCGAGCGATTGCTTCAGCCACTCAACCGAGGCTGAGATCCTCCAGTCCTCGCTATCATCTATGGCAACACGCTCAGATACCCCTAGATGACCCACGGGATCTGCTGTCCCATCGAGGGGCTGGTAGTCTTTGGCATACCACCCATCTCCACAGTTGATCTCAATGCGCTTGACATCCTTCCACACTTCGTCTCTAAGCGGCACACAATCCATACCATGAAACATTTGGCGAGCAGCTCGCTTCCAATTCTCGGTCATCCACTCTTGCTTCAACAGATGGCCGGCATGCTCCCCAATAAATGCCTTGAAGGCTGTGTTTGCACTCGTGTTGTTGGTGATTCCCGGAAAAGGGCCGTAAATGACGGCCGCAAAGGTTCCATTTCCCCGCAGACTCTTTGCGACATTGTCAAGCGTGGGTTCCAGGATAGTCCAGTGCAGTGACTCGCAAGCCATTACGAAGTCAACATGGTCTACATCTATCAGGGGTTCCCAGGGGTCTTCCCCGCGACAGTTCCGGTAGGAGAATTCGATCCCAGTGAATCGGTCCCTGAAGCGTGCGCGGCAGTCTTCGATGTTCTTGGCTTGCGGTTCAGTCAGGACGACATACTTGGGAGGCGAGGGTGCGTGCGTCAAGAGTCCTTCGGCAGCGTTGCCGCTGCCAGAGCCGATGTCGTGAATGGTATCCAGAGGGCCTTCGTGGTAGTTTGTCCAAAGCTTCCACATGGACCCTGGATAGGGAGGCCGGTGATCGACGTAGTGTTTTGCCTCCTTGGCGATGGCCACATTGGGATGGTGGCTGGCCTCCAGCTGAGGGGCAGTGAGGGGGACACTCATTTTCGACAGGGTTCGAACGGGCGCTGGTCTGTGTCTCTGTTGATGGGTGTCCTTAGAATGGTAACCCGAGAATGATACGATATGAAGGCAAAATGGTCGATCTGCGTACAACTCCGGGCCCACCGCTTTGTCTTATTCTTGAGAACGGTGCTTGGCCCTGTAGTGCTGATCCTCGGACTTGGACTTGGTACCGAGAGAAAAGCATCGGACTGGCTGGGCAGAAAGGCAGCAATTCTGTGGTTCGCATGGTCTGTGTTCCTTTCCGTAACCGACGGGTTGCGACAGTAGAACTACGCACTTTCTGGTCCGAGTCGGATGGAGATGCTGGGGTGCAGGCGACTGACTCAATCCACGGTTGCATTGCTTAAACTTTGAGGTCTCTGATAGTTAGGTGGTAGTAAATAGGCGCGTCTATCGAGTATCTCAAAGCTTCTTGGCTTTTGAACGAACAGCCACGCACTACTTGAAATAAGTTTTGACAACACTGGATTTAGTGGAAGTTTGTCTCTGATCATGTTTCCGACCCCTGCCTTACCAACGGCACTGCCTGCAAGATTGACAGATGGTTCACAGAAAAACACCGAATTTCGAGCGGGAGCGTGATTAGGTTCCGTTGGCTTGGAAGCTCTTGGAAGCTGGATAAAGAGGCTGTAGCTTCCGCCTCAAAACAAGGCTCATCTGTACATGTACCTCAGCTTGCAACGTGTGAGCGGGTAATCGCGAAGTAAGTGGACTCGGGGCACGCGGACCTAAATGCCCCGGGCCCGACTCTATACCATCTTTGATGGAGCTTCGTGTATCGGCTGTAAGAAGGGCCAAGCCCAGCATACTGGTTTGATTATCCTTGCCACTTCTCCCAGGACGGGGCGAGTCATCCACAAAGCCTAAGCCCGTCTGATGTGATGAACACATCCTACCCAGGGCGAATGGTGCAACATTGCCTGTGGGTTACGCGGCGAGGGGAAAAGAAAGTTAAACAGAGTAGTGGCATCGATAACTCTGATTGGCTGGCTCCTGAGAATAATCAAGCATCCCCTGCTGCTTTTGTTCTCTTTGTCATGTTGTGGGCCGCTGATAGAGCTGGTTCCTTGACGAAACAGTCTTATTCTTTAGGATCTGCTGTCAAGCTAGGGAAGCTTGGGAAGTCTGGATCCTTCAACGTGGGATGCGTTGGGCACAATAATTTCAAACAGAGCTTCATACCGGGGAAATGTGATATTCTTGACTGGTGCATTCTACGAGTTACCTACGGCGGAAACCTTGCCCAATTAGTCAAAACTCTGTGTGAGTGTTTGGATTCGTCCGTTGGTGACATCGCAGCACTACTTACTTAGACCAAGCTTATCTTGCATTCAGCTCGACGTTTTGTTAACAACAAGTGCCGACGCTTTGCTTAACTTGGAAGACTGCCGTCCGGTGTTCTTTCTAGAATACTTCGAAGCTTGAATGCCCATTTCTCACGCGAAACCTAACTCAAGCTATCAACATGCGTCGAATCACACGTCGAAGAGGAGCTTGTCAGGCTTGCAGGTCCAGGAAAGTCCGCTGTGAGTATTCAGCCTTGTCAACATGTTGAACTCGTCATGACACTTTTCAGGTGACGGAGCCGACCCGTGTCTTAACTGTGAGGTAAGAACAGGCTCCCCAGAATGTTCAACTCAGGCCTATGCTAACCATTAGTAGCGAAACGGGCAGGCTTGCTACTATCCTCCATTAGCTCCTCGACCGAGGAGAACAAGCGCACCGGGAGCGACCAACAGAACTGCCCCCAACATCCGAAGACTAGGAATCAACATCGACCAGAACTGCCCCGTGTACGATGCTTGGCAACAAATGCCCTGTGATACAGCTCTGTTGACACCGAACTCAACAGAGGGAACTACGAGCAATGGCGGAAAGGTCGATGGGGAAGACTTCAGCTGTATGCTCCAGCTGTCGCTCTCGGAAGCCTACCCGGATTTGGGGCATGATGGGCGGTTGAATTTACTCGATCTACCAATACCGGGGGAAGACGAGCTTATGGAGCTACTGGACACGACGCCATCTGACTGTAATTCCAGTGGTGGATTCAACTTTGACTTCACTACTTCGAACACAGAGCAGTTCCCGCAATCGCCAGTTGCTGCTCTGCCATTGCCGAATGATGACCAACCACGCACCAGGCCAGAAACGACAAGCCCTCCAGACTACAACACAGTAGGTGAAGTTAAATGCAATTCCTGTAAGAACACCAATGACTTAGAGAACGCGTAGTTATTCAACTTTGACGAAGCAACAGAAGTTCCGTCACCTGCTTTCAACCCGAAAGACAAATTGCCGCCTTCGAATAATGGTACTGTGCAAGTCGACTTTTCCGCTGCAAATGTCTATGGTCTCCCTGATTTCATCTCTCAGGGAGGCAGAGATAGCCAAAGACATCAGACGATCAAGATTGTAGACGGTCTACGGCGAGTTCTGTGCGAGGGCGCAGTGGCATCGAGCGAAGATGGACCACTCGATAGGACGAAAAGGTTTCCTGAGACCGACAGCGCCCTTTCACGATACTGCGATGGTAAGCATGGTCCCACTGTTGACCCAACCAAGCTGAGGTAGCTGACATCCTCCGCCTAGCATGCTTTGAGGATTGCTGCCCGTAAGTGGTCATGACGCGGGGAAGACGAGCAGAATCGCCAAAAACTGACAGTGTTTTAATGCGTATAGAATTGGCGACTTTATGACGAAATCTGCCGTCGAGAGTATCATCAAGCAGTCCAGGCAACCTGAGCCCAATACATTAGTTTCAGTCTTTGCTGAAGCCATTGTAGCTGTGGGATTTCATACGGCTTGCCTTCGAAATAGAGAAACTCGAATCATTGAGGAGGCCAACGAAGCACAAAAACGCCTTGCAGCAGCTTTGCGGCTGTACAAAGACATTCAAAACTACCCAAGCACGTTACTAAAATTTCAGGTCACTCTGGTTATGGTAATTATGATTTGACTTGCAACGAATTCACCACAAATATGGCAGTAGACCCTAACTCGAAGAATAGGCCGTGATAGCATACGTTTGTGAAGAATCCTTGATTTGGGAGCAAATTACTGCGGCAGTGTGTTGTGCGCGTGACCTTCGTCTCGTTCACGCAGCAAGAGGCCAGCAAACCAGCATGAGCGATCAAGATCAGGAGCTGGCTCAACGGGGAGTTTGGTTTCTTTACAGCCTCGAGACCGATTACGCTATCCACCATGGGATGCTCCCAGTAAGTCCAGTAGTTGCGTGATACTGGCCAAGGCACCTACTGACACGCTGACTAGATACTGGATCTGGGCTGGGGAATCCAGTTTCCATCGTTCGATAAAGGAGACGACATGATTGCCGTCTCTTACACCTTCTCCGAGCTTCTACACTCTGTACTCAAGTTTCAGTACAGCCCTAGAGCACTGAACAAGTCGGCATCCGCATTTGATCGTCGCGATC